GAATTCACTTTCAACTAGCAAACGAGTGGACGTACCCTCGAAATATCTCTTCTAGGACGCGGTTGACGCGTTTCGTCTGACCATCTGTTTCGGGATGGTCAAAAGTCGACATCATCAAACGTTTTTCAAGAGAGCGGAACACGGATTACCAGAACTCTGCTGTAAAGCGGGGGTCCCTATCAGACACGAGTTCACGGAATCACCCGTGAAGTCGGAAGATAGTATCGATGAAGACACGAGCACAGCCCTGGGCTGTAATTGAATCTGGTACTGCAACAAGATGTACCATCTCGCTGAACCGATCAACAAACACAAGAATACCAGTATTCTTGTAAACCTCTTTGGGAAAGCCGAAGACGAAGTCCATCGATATGGACTGCCAACACTCTGCCAGAATCGGAAGAGGCTGTAAGGGTGCGCGGGATGAAGGTTTAGGCTTCACCGTCGACGAAATTTGCAAGCGCGAATGTATTTCCGCACAAAATCGTACTGGCGGGGCCAGTAGAAGTCACGAGTCACCATGAGGTAAGTCTTTTCTCTACCGCGATTCCCACTTGACACTCATACATGATGCGCAATCGCAAATCATCATGATCGGGAACGACGACACGAGGTGTGTCGCCGTTGACTGCTGTATAGTACAGCAGTCCATCACGAAACGAAAACCGTTCGGTTGGAGAGCGGTATTGAGACGACAAGCTTTATAAAGCTCGACTGCATGGCTTAGATACGTAATTATGAATTGCAAAAGAGACTCATCTTCTGAGTATGCTTTCCGCACGTCATCGAGAAGATTCGATGACGGACACTCACTGATAGTGTTGCAACAGTGGAATTACCCGTACCGTTGGGTGGAGCAGTCGGCTCGAAGTCGGGCCGACGCGAAAGAGCATCAGCGACGACATTAAATCGTCCTGGTTTATACTAGATGGAGAAGTTGTACTCCGCAAATAAAGACAGCCAACTCGCCATTCGTTGCAAGAGGTGTGGACTGTTTATGGCCGTGCGTAGTGACTCATGGTCGGTATAGACGATGAGGAGCCTATCTCCTAAGTGATATGACCGAAACTTGGCCAGTGAACATTTCATGGCAAGGAGTTCCTTGTCATGCACTGGGTAGTTGTTATCAGCTGCTTGCAGCTGACGCGATTGATAACAGACGACGCGCTTAACGCCGTCTGGGTCGTACTGCATTTATGCAGAGCCGATTGCAAAATCTCTGGCGTCACAGAACACATGAAATGGCCTATTCTTATCTGCAATCGTCAACACAGGCGATTGCACCAAGCTTTTCTTGGTGCCTTCAAAATAGTGCTGACAATCAGCGCTCCATGACCACCTCTGGTTTTCGTTAGCAGACGAGATAGATGTACAGTCATCTCGGCATAGTTGCGCGAGTATTTGTGCAAATACGCTGTCAAGCCAAGGAACTTTCGAAGTCCCTTGACGTCAACTGGGCCAGGCCATTCGCTAATCGCCGTGATCTTTTCTGGATCAGGGCGTACACAGCTTTTACTCACGATGCAGCCAAGACGTGGTATTTCGCTCACTGTGAATATACACTTCTTGAGATTCGCGAACATCTTATGCTCACGTATAAGTGCCATCATAGAACCATCCGGACCTGGATTCTATGAACCTCCACGTCCGTCTTTCCATCCATAGTCCAGCTATGTACGAAGACATCCTTATAATAACTCGATGCAAAGTCTCGCACGATCGCAACAGATTTGTAACACATCTGTTGAAATTTGCAGGGGAGTTACTTAGCCCCGGTGGCATCACTATCCACTCCCACAGCATACTACTAAGGGCCCTTACTTTTGTGTACGGATGTCCTGTTCACGCATGAGGATCTGATAGAATTCATCCATTAAATCCATGGACGAAAAGATGGTGCTTTTTGCCATACCATCAATGATGACATCCTTCCTTGGGATCGGCGTTTAAGCCGGTACCGTTGCTGCGTTCAATTTTTTGAACATGTGCGCTATCCGCCACCCTCCTGTGGCCTTTTGCACACAAATGGTCGGAGAGCTGTGTGGGGATGTTGATTTTTTCACATGACCAGCTGCTAAGCGATTAGCAAAGAATTTGTCGATCGCAAGTACTTGTTCACAAGGCAGTGGCCGCTGCTTCATGACACATTATTTCGAACCGGGTTTCAGTTCGATCGCATGCCGATTGACTTTGTCCATGGGCAGCTCGCATAGCACGGATTCAGGGAAAACATCCCTGAATTCGACCAAATCCTTATACAAAGGATTTGTCTTCAAAGACTCCAAGATTGGGACGTGTTCCGCTCAATACGGGTCTTCTCATCGAGGATCCATCGATGAGCTGTTGAGAACCCGTTCGCTCTCAGCAAACACTTGTGCCGACCGAATATCGGCGACGTACTCGTCCTCTGTGACGAGTGCGCAGGTCTGCTTGATCTTGTCACTACGCAGATCTCGCTAGGATCTTTCAGATTCTAGCGCTGGCAACTTGATTACTCCCGAAGCTGACTTCGGAGTTGTAACTAGATCGAGTGTATAAGCGCCTACATTTGATCCGTCATTCACCAAGACATTCACTGTCTCCAAGCTTTCCTGGGAAAACACATCCGCAGGTGGTTGGGGATCTACACCCTCTACACTCTCAGGAATGCTGGAACTTTCTTCCAATACGTGTACTGACTGTGGGTGCACTATCACATTCACGTCCTCTTCGATCGACTATCTTTCAGTCGATCGTGTTTGCTTTACGATAGACTCTCTGATAGTAGATCTCGCTCCAACGTGTTGTTCATCCTGAACAGCACTAATCTCTCTTCTTGGATGCACCCTTCTTGGTGTGCATCCATGTTCCAGTCCACCCGATCTTTTCGAGTGGTGAACCTTCGGCGTAGCCTGTGTCTCTACACAGGTACCGGAAGCTGGTTCCACAGTATAGTGGCTTTCTACACTGTGATCTTGTGCAGTCGTACTGACGACCGTACCACAAGTGAGGCCATTGCACTCACTCGTAGTACGTCCACATACTCGTGGACACTCCAAGCCGTTTTTACCTGTCTCGGTTTTAGCGACATGGTCGGACCCACGACTTGGACCTTTCATTGGCCAACGGCGGTCTAAAAGTCCCGTCTTTGTTAGTGATGCGGTGATTGGGACACTACACTCATGAGCGTAGTGTCCGATCTTCTAACGGTGATAGCATCTTGCCGTTCGCTTGTGACTCAGAGAGCGAGAGTTCTCGCTCTCGATATAACAGAGGTCCATAGGCTCGGGACCTCCCGTTTCCTGTCGTCTCGTCGGACGATGGTTTGACGAGTCATCCTGAGACTATCTTAGGCTGAAGGCTTCTTGTTCCGCATACGCTATCGCCTTTTACAGCTTATGGAAGTCCTCTAGCAACGTGTAGGTCTTCACCGGTCCATCTACAAGGCCGTAGATGAACACGCTGATGGACGTGTGCTCATTAACAGGGTATTCCGTGACGCTACTTTTTAGGTAGCGTAGGTGTTGTGCGTAAGCGTGCACATTAGGCTTACCTTGCTTTAGTCTCAAGAGTGCAGAGCGTGCTCTAGACTCGGCTCTCGGCGGATCAAACGTCTCTTTGAGCCGAGACTTCGAGATCTCTAACGACTCGAACACGTTTGGGTCGTGAAGCTTGAGCCTTAAGGCCCAAGTCCTGCTCGTCCTGTCAAATTTGACAGGGCGAAGGTAACTTGCATCTCGTCACCCTCGATGTGACGGGCCCTGATGGCGTCGTCTCACTCGACGAACCATCTCAAAAGGGAATCTTCATCGGTTTACCTTGTACCTTAAGATATCTATGTTCAAGGTTTCAGGTCGACGCATCTGCGTCGGCCCGCCCATCGACTGATGAGAGCCTTGCTGTTGTAGCAAGGCTATCTTCTGTCTTTCGACGGCAAGTTCCCCTTGTAGGAACTAGTTAATAGCGGCATGTTGCTGGTCTTTGCTTTGAGACGCCAGCATTCCACTGATGGCGGGTTCGCCCATGAGCACACCCATGCGGCCGACTATCTCCCATTCTGAGTCATTCAGATGGGAGTAGCCTTCACGTGTGACGTAAAATCTGTCGTCTTCTACGTCCAACATGTTCCTGTTGGACGGACACTAAGTAGTCGTTGGACGGAATACGAAGTGCTACCAGGTGTGACGGGGCACCCTTTGTCTGGGGTGCCGCGAAACTTCACGTACACTAGTACGTGCAGAGGAAGCTAAACTACTTAAACGACTTGTTTAAGAAAAGGTAAAAAGAAAACTGAATTTAGTATAGCTAAGCTATCAATAAACTTCAGTCTTTATCGAGCTTTATTTATCTACATTGTTGTATGACGGCAACCTGCTCACCACCCATTAAGCGCGTCTAGCAGCGATTGGTGGTAATCTTGGCTGATACGTCTTTTTCCATCCAATCTGTAACGGGGCACCCTGAAGCTTGTACTGGTGACAGTACAAGCTACTTATTCTGATGACAGAATAAGGCGGTGCCTCGTAACTTCACGTACACTGGTACGTGCAGAGGAAGACGGTAAGAAGAAGCGAGTACTTGGTTAGAGTAAAAAGTAGAAGTGTATTTATAATAGTTAATGTCTGCAATAAATCACTATTTATCTTCGTCTAACTATGTCTAAATGCAGATGTGTAAATCAGTTATCTGCTCACCACTCATTGCGTGCGTCTGTCGTGGCGCGTCTTCGTTGGTTGATATAATGGCCTATATCAACCAATTAGGAACTACTCGTAAGTGCTACAGAATATTTGTCCTTATGACAATATTCTGAGAATATAACTCTTATAGTTATATTCTATTAACAATTTCTTATAAATTGTTATGTAACGATTCACCCCGTTACATCACCCCCCTTAACCATCAGTCACTTTAGTGACTGATTGACTAAATGGATACTCGTCCCAAATCATTTGGGACAGGGTTTGCACTTGTTGGTCCGCGTCCACTTTCCAACATTTCATCGCATGGTAAACAAGCCCATGCGATGCGCGAGCAAGGCCGCCGAGAGCGCGTCCGCACGTCTCTGTGCGGACGCCGAAGCAGAAACTACAGCAACTGATGTGTCATCGGTTGCTGAATCGACTCAGCCTGTATCACCTGGTGATGCAGGCGCTGGTCATGAAGACACTCGTGTCTTCACAGAGTACGAGCTCGGTGTCTCGTACTCTCCTGATACGGAAGACGGATCCGTATCGACGGCGATCGAATCCAAGCCGCCTGCCAAGCGTGGCATGGACGATGCTTTGCGTCGTAGCATCTTCGGTTCATCTGATGAATCAGATGAACCATCGCCGAAGCGAAGGCGCTCGAGGTCGCGAGACTCGGGCGCTAATAGTGGTGTCGGTTCTCCTATGGACACCACTTCGCAACGAGGTGCCAGTACTTCTGTCGGCACATCGCAGGAAGAGCGGGACCGCAATGTCTTGCGTCTCGCTCCTGAGAAGAAGGCATGGATGCCTCCCAAATCAGTCATGGATCACTTGTCGGCGACGACGAGTGATCGTTATCGAACACGATTGTTCGATTCGTCAAGGATCCATCACCTTGACCCCAGCGCGAAAAACTATCGCGCTGAGAATGAATTCTTCATCGATGCTTTCTACAGACATCGATAATACAGTGGGAATCACAAACATGATGGTCCCTCACTGCTTCAGGCGTGGAACGCCTACATCCATAACCTTGAGGATATAGGTCGTGACGCTTGGAACAACAAACTTATCAAAGCTCGTGATAAGTTTGAAAAGCGAACCCCGACAGGTGCATGCTACAAGCTGCATCGTCTGTCTAAGGAGGGTGGATTACCCTGCCTCTCATGGGGAGACTCGTGCCCGTGTTGTGTAAACAACTCTGCACGAGCACCTAAGGAGGCTTACCTCCCTAATAGCCCGTGGTGGCGCGTACGTATCTCTACTGAGATGTACGAAGGGATTGACAACCTGAAATCCCTTTACGAACGTGCCGGGAAGACTTTCTCCGGCGGTCCTTCTGCGGCACAGGATGTGCCGCGTCGTACTGCTCAACCAGACCCAGTACGTCGATCATCAGTTGGGAGCGGGGCTCCCAAGAATCCCAGGACCGGGGATAGCCGCGCCACCGGACGAGATAACTCGTCCGACGTCCGTTCACGTCGCGGTGGTTCAACAGCTGCTCAACTAGATAGCGCCGGCCACCGCGAGAGTCCTCTAATGGAGGTGGAGGAGGAGGAAGACGCTCTCCACACGATCATGGGGATCGGTGTGTTCCCGAGAGCTTGTTTGATCGCGTAACGCAAGGGTTACGCGACGATCTCGAACATGAGCGGAATAGGCGTCTCCAAATGGCGGACACTGTCTCGAAGCATCGAGCTGAGTTTGCCTTTGCTCAGCTTGAGAACGAGAGATCTCTGACATCTCTTCGTGACGAGCTAAGGGTAGCTCGTGGGATTGCTGATCGGTCTTGGGATGAGATAGCTGCTCTTCAGACCCTTGTTGATGCCCACCATCGGGAGCACAAGGCTCTCTGCGAGATGCTTGAGCGCAAGGGCGTTCTTCATCGGAAGAAGCAGCGTACTGATGGTACAGCTTAAGCCAACCAACGTAAAACGTGGGATGCGTTCGCATCTTACGTGGTAACTCGATCGTGTATGCATTGCCTAGGCGGTGCAATACACGAAATGGGCCAATGTACTTGGGTAGTAGTTTACTGCTACCCAAGTTAGTCACTACATGCTTTGGTAGGTTAACCGTAGAAAGTAGTACTAAGTCACCTTGATTAAATAAAAGAGTGTTTGCCCTTCCATTCTTGTCAGCGTTTTGCTTTTGCTTATCCACCGCTTCGGCGATGGAGTCTTGCACAAAACGGACTACCGTTTCACGAGCCAGTATGAACTCATCTGATGACTCGTTAGCTTCAGTGTGCTGTGAGCGCACTGCGGCAACATCAACCTTTTCTTCAGTGAGGGCTTCCGCACTCTCACTGGGATCATCTTCTTCAGTGAGGGCTTCCGCACTCTCACTGGCATCATCTTCTTCGATATCGATGTTATCGATATCGGCATCAAACGCAATGACTTTTTCGTCAGAGCGTGATGAGCGTGAACCAATTCGGTTTTTGCTCGCGCGAGTCCCTCCCCCCCTTAAACCAGAGTTACACTCTAGTAAGGTGGGTACACGCGGATGGCGCAAGCCATTCACGTAAAACGGTGTATGTGTCGTGGACGCATGCACCGAGTTGTTGATGGCAAACTCTACCATTGGCAAAACCTCACTCCAACTCTTAAAGGAGTGTACGTATCCTCGAAGTATCTCTTCAAGGACACGATTGGCACGTTCCGTCTGACCATCTGACTCTGGATGATCAGATGTTGACATCTTCAAGCGCGTTCCGAGTGATTTGAACACGGAACGCCAGAAATCAGCAGTGAATCGAGGATCTCTGTCTGATACGAGTTCACGGGGCAACCCATGAAGTCGGAAGATGGTGTCAATAAAGACACAAGCACAGCCACTTGCCGTGATTGTCTCTGGTACAGCCACAAGGTGTACCATTTTGCTGAATCTGTCAACAAATACGAGAATACCCGTGTTCCCGCGTGCGTCTTTGGGTAACCCGAAGACGAAATCCATTGAGATGGATTCCCAGCACTCAGCCGGAACCGGTAGAGGCTGTAAAGGTGCACGCAGTGAAGGACTTGACTTCACTCGTTGGCAGACTTCGCATGCGCGAACATACTTTCGCACAAACTGATACTGGCGGGGCCAGTAAAAGTCTCGACTTATCGTGAGATATGTTTTCTCTCGGCCACGATGTCCTCCTATAGGAGCATCGTGATACTCGAACATGATCCGCAAACGCAGATCAGTATCATCTGGAATGACAACACGTGGTGTGTCACCAGAAACGGCTGTAAACCGTTGCGAGTAGTGTATCGATCTGATGCAGATCGATACGCAGACGATAATCGTTTCAACGATTCTCGAGATGGTTGGGAGAGATGTGTCAACAACTTCACTATCTCACCATCTTGGGCGTATGCCCGCCTCACATCATCATACAGCGTTGTAGATGGGACTGAGGACGTCATAACCGCAACAGTGACTGTCTCACTGTTGGGTTTCGCGACTGTTTCAAAGTCGGGACGACGTGAGAGTGCATCAGCGACGACATTAAGTCGTCCTGGTTTGTACTCGACCGTAAAGTTGTATTCCGCAAAGAATGACAACCACCGCGCCATTCGTTGTGAAAGGTGCGGGCTGTTCACTGCCGTGCGTAATGACGCATGGTCAGTGTAAACAACGAAGGGTCTATCTCCTAATAGATAGACTCTGAACTTCGCGAGTGCATACTTCATGGCAAGGAGTTCCTTGTCATGCACTGGATAGTTCCGCTCAGCTGGTTGCAGCTGACGCGACTGATAGCAGACGACGCGTTCAACGCCTTCAAGATCGTACTGCATTAATGCACAGCTGATTGCGAAATCGCTGGCATCACAGACCACATGAAATGGCCTGTCCTGATCGGCTATTGCTAGGACTGGGGATTGTATCAAGCTCTCCTTGATACCATCAAAGGAGCGCTGACATTCAGCGTTCCATAACCACCTCTCGTTCTTTTTCAACAAACGAGAGAGGTGCACAGTCATCTCGGCGTAATTGCGAGAATACTTGTGCAAATACGCCGCTAGCCCAAGGAATTTTCGAAGACCTTTGACATCAACCGGCACAGGCCAGTCGGTGATCGCCTTGATCTTTTCGGGATCAGGACGTACACCGTTCTTACCAACGATGCACCCAAGAAGTGGTATTTCGCTTGCTGCAAATATACACTTCTTGAGGTTTGCATATAATTGATGCTTTCGCATGATTGTAAGAACCTGTCGGACGTGGTACCTGTGAACCTCAACGTCCGACTTTCCATCAATAGATCGACTATGGATGAATACGTCATCGAAATAACTCGGCGCGAATTCTCGTACTGGTCTCAACAGATGTGATACACATCTGTTGAACGTGGCAGGGGCATTACTAAGCCCTTGTGGCATTACTAGCCATTCCCAGAGCATGCCGCTAGGCGTGCTAACTGCGGTATAGGGTATATCCCGTTCCCGCATAAGGATTTGATAGAAACCATCCATCAAATCCATGGACGAAAAGATGGTACTCTTTGACATACCATCAATGATTACGTCCTTCCTCGGTATCGGCGTCTGAGCCGGTACCGTTGCAGCGTTCAACTTGTTGAACGCGTGCACTATCCGCCACCCTCCTGTTGCTTTTCGCACACAGAAGGTCGGAGAGCTATGTGGGGAAGTTGATTCCCTCACATGGCCCGCAGCTAAACGATCGGCAAAGAACTTGTCGATCGCAAGTACTTGTTCACGAGGCAGTGGCCACTGCTTCATGACACAGTACTTCGAGCCTGGTTTAAGCTCGACCTCGTGTCGAATACCTTTATCCTTCGGTAATTCGCACGGAACAGTTTCAGGGAATACATCCTTGAATTCAACCAAATCTTCGTAGAGAGCATTTGTCTTGAGCGATTCCCACGACTGGGAGTCATATCGCTCAATTCGTGTCTTTTCATCCAGGACACTCTCGTCCATAGATGAACTACTGAGAACTCTCTCGTTCTCAGTGAACACTGTTGCTGACCTTATGTCGGCTACGCACTCGTCGTCAGCGACGAGTACGCAGATCTGCTTGACTTTGCCACTACGCAGATCACGCAAGAACCTTTTATGTTCGAGTGTTGGCAACTGAGTGATCTCCGAAGTCAACTTCGGATTGCAATCAGATCAAGTGTATAAGCGCCTACACTTGATCCGTTATTGACCATGACATTCAATGTCTCTGTCATTTCCTGGGGACATAATCCCTCAGGCCTCGAAGGACTTATTCCTTCGGCTTCCCGGGGACTTATTCCCGCGGGTTTCGGGGAACTTATTTCCGCCGTATTTGTAATCTTGGGACTTATTCCCTTTACTTCCTCTAGCTGGGGTTGCGCAACCACAGCGAGATCCTCTACGAAAGACTCTCCAGTCGATCTAGGATTATCGTTTCGCTTAACCTGAGCGATCGATCTTTTCTCTTCTAGATGTTCCCCGCTAGGGATACATCTTTGTCCCAGTCCACCCGACTTATTCGAGTGGTGGACCTTCGGCGCAGCCTGTGTTTCCTCACAGCCGCCGGAACTTTGCTCCGAAGTGTAACCGTTTGGTACACTAAGGTTTTGTGCAGTCGTACTAACGACCGTACCACAAGTGAGGCCATCGCACTCACTCGTAGTACATCCACACGCTTGTGGACGCTCCAAAACGTTCATCAGATGGCCATCTGATGAACAAGCGGCAGGCATCGTTACTGTTCGATGTTGCCAGTTTACCCGTGGTTCATACCTTCTGAGCCACGGTATTCCAAGGATGACATCAAATTTGTCATCCAAATCCAATACGATAAAGTCATCGTCATATTGGGTATCTTCTAGCGTATAGTGGATCTTCACTATACGCTTCATGACGGTTACGGATGCGCCTGTCGCAAGACGTACCGTCATCCTCGTAGGAGGTGTGTCACATTCAACAAACTTGAAGTGACCATCTTCTAGCGATTGGCGTCGCACAAAATTGTTGGACGCCCCACAATCGACTAGAGCTCGAAGGGACAACTTATTCGTCACTTCGAGTTTCAAGGTAATGAGTGAGACCTCATTACCTAGAGCAGCAACGCACAACGTTTGTGTGTTGGGAGCAACCTTCATCAAGAGGCCTACAAATTCTCTTGACGTTGCTAGACCAGTAGGGTGCTCCGCACCTACTGATCCTGTCCGTTTTTTGACGGTCCATCCCGTTGTTGCGTCTTTGCACCAACTGCGGACCCTCGTCCCTGCCCCTTTCTCATGGGTGGACGGTCACTACGCCCAGTGTCGCGAGACACTGGACGAGGGGCACTACACTCGCAAGCGTAGTGTCCTGTCTTTTGACATCTGTTGCATCTCTGCAACTTCTTGTAGCCTGTAGAGCGAGCCTTCTCGCTCTCTACATAACACAGTTCCATCGGCTCTGGACCTCCGTTGTCATATCGTCTCGGTTGACGATATGATGTCGAGCTGGCGCAAGCCTGTCTCAGACTGAAGTCTTCCTGCTCCGCAATGGAAATGGCTTGTTCTAGTGAATCTAGTTCAAGCCGGAACAGGTGAGTCTTGACGGGACCATCCGCAAGACCCTGCTAGAACACCGAAACCAACGTATGTTCATCCACCGGATTGGAACTTATACAACTCGTGAGATGTCGTATATGTTGGGCGTAAGCGTGCACATCACGCTTACCCTGCTTGAGCTTCAAGAGTTCGGTTCGAGCTCTGAACTCAGCTCTAGGCGGTTCAAACGTTTGTCTGAGCCACGACTTGAAGACTTCCAACGACCCAAACGCATATGGGTCGTGCAACTTGAGCCCCAGTGCCCAAGTCTTGGCACGTCCTGCCAGATTTGACTGGGCAAATGCAACTTGCATATCCCCGTCGTCGATGCGACGCGCCCTTATGGCGTCATCCAATTCGACGAACCATCTCAAGAGGGAGTCCTCTTCGACCCCCCTATACTTGGAGATGTCAATCTTCAAGGTTTCGGGTCGACGCGAGTGCATAGACTCACCAGCAGCAGCCTGCTGCTGTCTCAACAGTTCAAACTGTTGAGCACCCTGTTCTCTCACAACTCTGCTCGTTGAGAACCTTGTTGGTGAAGCAAGGCTACTTTCTCGCGTTCAGCGTCAAGTTCATTTTGAATGAACTTGGGGATAGTAGCATGTTGGGCATCTCTATTGAGAGCCTCTAGCATGACGCTAACAGCATGGATGCCCATGGTTGAACCCACTCGTTCAACCGCATCCCATTCGACATCGCTCAAATGGGAGTAGCCGTCACGCGTAGCGCGAAAGCTTTGGTCATCTTCATCATCCAACATATTCATGTTGGATGTGAACGCGGTCCTTGGACGGACTACGAAGTGCTACCAGGTGTAACGGGGCACCCTGAAGCTTGTACTGGTGACAGTACAAGCTACTTATTCTGATGACAGAATAAGGCGGTGCCTCGTAACTTCACGTACACTGGTACGTGCAGAGGAAGACGGTAAGAAGAAGCGAGTACTTGGTTAGAGTAAAAAGTAGAAGTGTATTTATAATAGTTAATGTCTGCAATAAATCACTATTTATCTTCGTCTAACTATGTCTAAATGCAGATGTGTAAATCAGTTATCTGCTCACCACTCATTGCGTGCGTCTGTCGTGGCGCGTCTTCGTTGGTTGATATAATGGCCTATATCAACCAATTAGGAACTACTTGTAAGTGCTACAGAATATTTGTCCTTATGACAATATTCTGAGAATATAACTCTTATAGTTATATTCTATTAACAATTTCTTATAAATTGTTATGTAACGATTCACCCCGTTACACACTCTGTGAGCAGCACATGAATATTATCCTGCAAGGGGGTAAAATTCCTCCCATATTATCCATCTCGGATAATATTGGTAGGGAATTGTCACTCTCGACAATCTCCCTGTTGACACCGTTAGGTGTCAATATCATGCACTGGGCTACCCCGTTGCAATGTCTCTAACGTTTTTAACGCTGGTAAAAAGAAAGAAAGTATTTTGAGTGCCTCATTTCCCAAACACCTCCTACACGCAGTTAATGAAAGGCCTTGTTGCACTTAGTGTGACATGGAAGGCACAGCTGGCGTTGTTTACAGACAGAGGTCGGTCGGTAAAACACACACGGACAGACAGCAAGTAAATTTTAGGGTTAATCGCAAAAAAATGACATGATTAAAGATCTTTACGAGAACGTGATAGGATCTGTTTGAAATCTAGATGTATATTCGTCCATCACACAACCGTAAACTAACTTGAATTTTATCCGGATGATGCTACCCTTCAGCGTATGTAAGAGCTACGCAAATATACCGATAAGCGATGTGTATAATCACAATCAGCACGTGTAACTGTGGATAAACGCAGGACGTGTGATTGCTCCTTGAGCTGAGGCTTACTTCTCGATCTTGCTGAAGCAAGTCGAAGAGTATATCACAATAGGCATTGACGACCACGTCTCCTTTGTCCGTCGTGTCACTCTGCCATTCAAGCAGCGAAAAGTTGATATGTCCTCAATGATTTGCTCGTGTGAGACATGATTTTAGTTGAAGAGACCGTGTCGTCATCTTATCGCGGCGCTAACGCAATGAAGAAAATCTTTGAGTTACCACTGCTAAAAGGTTAGTGCCACCAAGTCACAACTTATCAAATAACCACCGGTGCCATGCTGACTCTCGAGGATCACAGTATTGTCAACAATCAAGCCGTTCTATCAGCGAGATGCATCTGTTGGTTGGAAATCCAAAGAAAGGCATTCTAAAGTGCGAGGAGGAGAAGTTGGCGATCAAGTGCGTAGACAGTACTAATGCGAGAAGTGTGGCAGCACTGGTGAAAACAACCATGTGACCTGCCGCCTTTCTGAGGCCTAACATCGAAGTATCATGTCTTTTCGTGTTACATCATAAATGAATTTGACTCGCGGGACCAAAGGTTTTTTGACTTGCAAACCAAGAACGGATGCACCCAGGGAACAATTCCATTTGACTGTTTTAAGCGACCACTGGTCATCACTGCTAGGGTGAAGCCTTCTCCCACCAGCGATGACCCGGTCTGACCTAACGGACTTGCCGTAGAATTTAAGTTAGAATGGAAGAAGCTGCGCCAGACTCTAAATAATGTCCAGATCTGAACAAGTACATGTACATGACAGTTACATCAAGCTGTCACGAGATACCTGTGGCAACACCCACGTCGGAATTGAACTCACACTTTCCATCGCAGATCGATGGGCAAAGCACCACTCCACTAGAGTGCATACAATCCCTCTCTTGCAACATTAATCTCTTGGTCCTCCATTGCGACGGTACTCTGAACCGTCAAGACTGGTTCCCATACCTAAAGGCTCCTAGTGGTCACTGACGTAGTTAACGGCTGTGCAATAAATTATAATAAATCTAACTTTCGAACATATCCTGTCACGTTCTGGTGAAACTTTCAAATTCTGTCACCTCTTGCAAATATCCCGAAACTAAAATGTGTCTAAACTTTAAACATATCCTGTCACCTTCTAGTGAAAATCTAAAATCCTGTCATCTTTGCAAGCATCCTTTTAAAAAACCGCACTGAGCGGTAGTTTGCGTCGTAGTCATACAGAGGCCTCACTCTGACCGTCTTCAACGGTGACATGAGGTAAAACTCGAAGCTGCTGCGCGCGAGCTCCTCACGTCACCTATAAGCTGGTCGTCGTAGACCTTTTCTTGTACGTGTCAGTCTACGTTCTTGTCGTCTTCTCGGCACAGCAACACACTCTAGTCGATTCTTCCGCCGCATCTACCGTCACCTTCGGATCGTCTCATAAGGACGACCTAACGGCTTGCTTAGCACTACCCTGAGGCCACAGCGAGAAAACTTTAAGTGAGGCTATTTGTGTAATTTTTGTCAAGCATATCATACGTGGACGCAATGTGAGACTTTTTTCTCAATACATGTCATAGTAACATCTTGTTGTCACGTCATAGTAACATCTTGTTGTTTCTAAGTTGTCTCGGTGGTTCATAGGTTGTCTGCAAGTTTCTGATCCTGCAGCCAACAATTGTCCGATTTTGTAGTAATAATCAGTCCCAATACACTCAAGAGTATCATTGATACGACTCTCGACTTAAAACTGCGGCTACAGTCCTGTTTTCGAGTTCTGGACATTCTAGATAGGAGTAACGGAGTTGAAATGCTTGCCGAGCGCATAGTAGTGTAGGTGATACGTCAACTGCAGCTTCGGCGTGCTTTCTTGGTCTTCATTACCGAATTCCGAACCCATCACGAGCACGTCACTCTCGGCAGAGAAAATTTCAATAGGCGTCCGCAAAGCACATGCCAGCGCACGAAGCTCCAGTTGTCCACCCCAGTCCGCTGTAGTCACCACTCGATCACAGTACGTCGTGAATGCGTCGTCAACACTTTCTTCGAGCTCCATAAAAGGCAAAAAGTCATCTGGATGCGCGAGCATGTACTCGCTCGTGAGTTTCCGGAGATACTCAAAGCGTGCTATCTCCTCAGTACTGGCCAGGTTCTTCTGCTTCATCTGATCAGCTACTGCGTGATACATACAGTGGCCGTCGGACGGAATGTCTTTGATCTTGAGACCATGTCGAGCCAACTGTGCCAGGATCAGGTCAGCCTCAACCTGCCGTTCACTCACCGTGTTTTTGTTTTCTTCTTCGATGCGTTCACGACGTTCCTGTTCTTGCTGTTGTTTTGCTTCCCGTTTACGCTGAGCTTTAGCTTGAGCCTTGACTTGTTTCGACAGTTCTGCAGCCTTAGCAGCTTCGTCCGAGTGTAAAGTGGAAGTCCCTGCGTCTTCTATCCTTGTCTCAAATGCTTGGAGCTCCAGCTCGTGACGATCTTTCATCATACTCTCCATGGCCTTCACCTGGACCTCAATTTCGTTCTTACTCAGTCGGTCCTTCTTTGCCTTCTTCTGGAACATCTTGATATCACATTGCAGTGTCTGGCCGAACAATAAGAATAAAAAGAAGAAGAAGAATAAAGCGAATAACCGTAGTAACAAAAATAATAATAATAAAGAATAAAGAATAAAGAATAAAAAAGAGGAAGAATAATACAATTATCGTGATGATTAACAGTGTTTGAACGAAGGCTTGTGCCTTTATCGAGGCGCCGCATCGTGCAAACACAAGAGATTCGAGCGTCTGAGAACACGTACGCGTAGTTCGAGTTTGTGGCGCTGTTTAGTCTGCCCGAGCGTTTCGTCCTTCGACGCCATTTATGATGACAAAGTAGGAAAGGGGGATACTGATGATCGAAAAATGACGCTAGCGATTGTGTCTCTCCTCTCCAAGTAGTGATACTCAGAACGTGTCATATAAGAGCATCTCCACCGCACCACTTTATATTATCGCTAAATTGGAGTGCTACTTCGAGTGGACTACGCGATCAAAGTACTCATTTCGTAAAACTCCACACCTCGGGTGCTCAAATTCTAGACTGACAACGCTGCTTTAATTATTGCCACCCTTGCCTCCCGTAGAAAACGCGTTTTGGTGAGTTTGAAGTAGGGACTTCAATTGTCAATGAGTCAGGCGTCTAGGGTTCGAACATGAAGTGCATGCGAGGAGTAAGTGTAGTTAGGTGGCAATTTAGAGCTTGTAGGTTTTGGAGACAGGTTTGGAGTCACTCCAAATTTGCATGAAAGGCTAAAAAGATGGAGTGTTCTCTAAAAGAGAGATATAATAAAGTAGCGGGGTGGGGACGCAACTGCTTCAAATCCACTGCAAAATAGAGATATCGCACTGGATGAAGTGACCCAGTAGAGATGCTCTATAAGTGAAACAACCGTTTCTTCATTTCTATTATCGCGATAGAAATTCATGAAACCACGAGCAGATCTTCTGCTTTGCGTCGACTTTGATGAGACCATCACGGTACGCGACACGACCTCGCTGCTCCTGCAGCTGTCATCCTGCTCGGTACAACGTCAGCAGCAGCTTGTGACGCAGTATGTGAACGCGATGGAAGGCTTTCTTGATGGCTACAAAGCCAAGTGGAGACTGCGTACCAGCCCGAGTCGAAGATGTGACAAGGTGGGGTTACACGCGTTTCTAAAGGGGTACGCTGCAGCGGACTTGCGTTCGGTGGCGCGAGTTGTCACGTCTCGAGCGCTGCAGGGGATTCGACATCAAGATCTCGTCCAGGCTGCAAGTATAGTACCGGTCCGACCGAATTGTGCCGATACGCTCGCAGCTGTGGACAGGTGGAAGGTCATTTCTGCCAATTGGAGCACACGTCTCGTGTCTTCTGTGCTGGCACAAGCTGGCGTTTCTATCGGCGCCATTGAGACGATGCAGATCATTGGCAATGGTACGTGTTGTCGTTGTTGCTTCGTTGGGCAGTAAGGAGCAGTAGTCCTGACTGTACTTGTTGTGGAATGTATCTATGTGTTTAGAAATGCTCGTGGATGAAGAAGGAGTGACGACTGGAGCAATCGACGTGAAGGTGCAATCTCCTGAAGACAAAGCACGTTGCGTGAATGAAGCGCGCTTGGAGCGCGCAGAGATGCAGCCGACTGTCATCTACGTCGGTGACAGCGCCAATGATGTGCTGGCTATGCTGGAAGCTGATGTGGGCATTTGGTTTGTTGTTGACGGCACGGCATCATCTTTACTAGGCCAGCTGGTGAAAGCTTATAGCATTGACGTTCGACCACTGATGACCGTCTGCTCGATTGCAGAGTGTGCTGCCATAGCGGCATGCAGACCGACGGTATTTACGATGACAGACTGGGCACAGCTGCAGGTACTTGTGTACCATGTCCGACTCGTCCAATAATTGGCAAAGCCGGACAGGAGGCCAATTTATTGTCAATGCACAAGTCTAACTTTATCTTTCCTCATACGTTACGGAGGCTTTTCTGTGGCAAACGACGTCTTTGATCTTACAGTGTTGGCGGCTTTCTGTGATGGAGGTGTGTGTATTGAATTCAGGAAGAGTCTAATTATCTCATGTTGGCCGCCATTCGGTAACAACATTCCAAAATTTGCTGATTGCCTTTGCATTGCAGATTATCCAGATCTTTCTTATTTTATAAAATAGTCGAAAGCTACAAATAAAGGTAAAAAGAGATCAACAATGTGAGATGTTGCAGCATTCTCAATATTATTGCGATATAAATGGTCGCTAAATAGCAATTAATCGGGCAAAACAAGCTTGTCGACGCGGTAGAAACGACCTCCACAAGATACCTACACGTCCATCTGTTACCGAAGTCCATCTGTTCACCGCGTCACCGCTACCCATAACAATAGCACAGTTCATGATTACGCCGCAAGACTTTACGTGGGACGCCGCACTCGTATCTAGGACGTCAGATACCAATTCTGTTCATGCATGCGGGGCAACCCCCGCCAACACGTGAGTTGTGATCGGAGATGTCCTCCCCTCCCACCAGCGTCAACAGAACTCAAGGTTCAATATCGCCTGGATGTGGCTCTTGCTTTCCGCCAAGGAATCTTGTGGCTGCTGGTCAATCCATACAGCATTGAGATCGATGGAGGTTATTGCAGATTATCAAGCACTGACTTCGCCAGTGTCTTGATTGATCCCTTGGAGATTTCGGTGACATCAAGGTCTCAATAGCTCTCGTCATTCAGCCATCGAGCATGCTCTTGAAGCGGCAAAGCAAGCATGTGGCTGCATCTAGCTTAATAATGAGACGAGCCCCGATGCCCAAGATCGACAATTGAGCATGTCGGTGCTTGTGGTCGAGCCCATATTCCGTACCGGCACACAATGGTGCGATCAAAGCTTGCAAGGGACACTGCAAGCTAGCTCAGTGACGCCAGCTCAATGATGCAAGTGTTTACTGCTGCGAAAACAGTCACTGTGTGCCTTGGTCAGGTGACCCACATCTGGATTTTTCCATCACCGCTGGAATCCCAGCACTAAACGAGGAATGCTCGTAGCCTGTCAATCCCCTTCAATGTGACTAGCTGTGGTGGCGCACTGTAGCGTGAGGCCGTACAAGGTCCCGTGGTTCGCGCGCCACCCCAGTGGTAATATTCATCGTATCAGGAGGCTGGTGCAGCTCCCAGTACGCTAGACCGCGAGGTTGCAGATGGTTCTGCCCAACACGCCGCCGCAGCAGCACTCGGTCGATGCAATGATCCAGTATGCTCGAGCACACCTCGCGTGTGACTGCTCGATGCAAAGGGATGCAGTTGAAGAACGACTTGACCTCCATCTCAATCCAGACCAGTTGCAGCATCGGTAAACCTGCTGCCGCCTCCTTCTACACATCTGGAGCTGCTGAGGTCGCAGCTGCCGGAGGGTGTGGGAACCGGTTGCGGGCGCTCGCCCTATCGCCTCGAGTCTGCAACGTTGAAGCGTCATCGCAGACGGCTATTCGGAAGAAGTGGTGCACAAGCGCAGTGCAACGTACCGGTATTTGCCCCTTGAATTGATCTCACACGGCGAACGGACGTGACAGTAATCCGCTCGGCCAATGGTTGCGCAATGAGAGCACGAGGTTGAAGTTCCATGCAAATTCAAGCTCACGCCGTCCTGGCTCTAACGATGCACAAGAGACAGGACGGATCGGATGGCGAGCGACATTGCGATTCGCAAGTCCAGCGGGAAGTCACGTGGCTCGCGCTCAGCCTCATTGACCCTCCTTTTCACCGCCACCCCTTGAGCCATGTGACGTGCATGTTGCAGTACAAACAGGTCACTTGAAGTTCATGGTGGTCGACTCTGCGCAAACCGATGGGCTGCACGACTTGTCGTGTTCAAGCCACCGTCTCGTCTCTTGTGTAGCGATCCCCTATCCCCTCTTGTCGCGTCACACGTGGCAGCCGGTCGGACTTGCCCGTTTGTAGCCATGTCCGTCCCGTCATCGCCGATCTTTTTAGCGGTTTCGAGATTCCTTCATTTGTCATCTCGCTCGTTCCGTGTCAAGCGCCACTCGTCGCGTCTCCGTCCACTATTAACCAAACGAACCATCGCTTGAACCATGCAACTTGCACAGTTTCGAGCGCTCTGCCGCACGCCGTCCACGTCCTGTACGCGGCCGCTACCAGCGACACTGGCCCGTGCCTTGTCCATGCAAAGTGAAGCGACCGCAAAGGTCTCGAAGGAAGAGATGCTGCGCGCGTTTGACAAGTTCCAGAAGGACGCGGCTGCAAACACAGTGCCCTGGTTCCTTGAGAACATGCCGCCGTCGTACTTCCGCTCCATTGAAGAAGAAGACCGACTGCAGCACCTGAACGCCATCACAGCGCTCATTGGCGCCGAGCAGCCTGAAGTGCTGCTGCGCTCGCCGGACCACAAAGTGTTTTCGCACTTTCGTTCGGGTGCCAACTTTCCCGGCCGACTCGCGAACGTGCTGGAGCAGCTCCCGCAGACGGTGGACGGGGCCACGCTCGCCCGTGTCAAGATCTTCACTGCTCTGGACGACTCGCTTGGCCTCGATATCTTTCGCTTTGGGCAGCAAGAGCGCTTCTTGAACCAGTCTGAAGACGAGAAGCACGCTCGTGACAACATCCTCAAGTTTTGTGCCGATATCCAGGCTGGCAAGTACGCGAGCGATGCGAGCTACCCAAACGCGGGTCCGCACTTTGAGCCGGAGGTCGTGGACGCCTTCCTTAACAATAGCAACACCATGTACGTGCAGTACAGCCATCCACGTCGCCTCGCCAAGCAACTGGAGCTGTACCAGCACGTGCGTGGCACTGAAGGGGTTGCGGTGGATGTCGAGCACAAGTGGGAGACCCGTAGCGAGGAGAACAAGTTCGTCTCGAGCGACGTCTCGCAAACCATGCTGACCATTGCAGCGTCGAACGTCATTCCCAAAAGTTTCATGCAGACGGCGGCCACGTACCTAGGTCTGTGCAACCTCAACGTGATACGAGCCCATTTAGATGTTGTTCGGGACCCGGAGAGTAGCAACGGTGATGGCCACGTAGCCATGGTGCGGATTCTTGTACAGCCCAGCAAAGAGGCTCTGCAGGAGAACTTTGAGTTCGAGTGGCTAAAGATATCTGGGAACCTCAAGTACCTCAAGTGGGTTGACGACGGACCAGTTCATCTCACGTTGCAGCACCCTGACCTAGGTATCTCACGGGCTGAGCTCATCTATGCCTACGGCAACATGCTGCATGGTGTCCTGGCAAAGAAAGATCCGTTTGCGTATTCGCTCACGCGCATTATGGAGACGCTGAAACATGAGCAGCACTTGCCCTTCGCTTCGCGTACGGCGGACTTTTTTCTGCGGAAGTTCGACCCACAACAGAAGCGGCTCACGGATGCCGAGCAATATGCTTTCGTTGACGAGATCAAGGCCGATATCCGTCGCAACGTTGAGCAGGAGGACGCGATCGAGCTGCTGAATAGTATGGCGGATGCCGTCCGCGGCACACTGCGCACCAACAAGTTTTTGCGCGAGCGCTATGCGCTGTCGCTCCGGATGGACCCTGAGGTCATGGGTTATGGCACTGTGGGCAAGGACACGCCGTTCGGGGTCTTCTTCATTTGTGGCCGTCGATTCAAGGGCTTCCACGTACGTTTCCGCGACATTGCTCGTGGTGGTCTCCGCATGGTATACCCCAGCTCCACGGACGCCCATGCGCTCGAGAGTGCCCGGCAGTACAACGAGGCCTACAATCTCGCCTTTGCCCAGCAGCTGAAGAACAAGGATATCCCAGAAGGTGGGTCCAAAGCTGTGGTGCTCTGTGACCCTATCGTTGGCAATGCCGGGGAAGTCGCTCCGCGTGACTTCATTATCCGCAAGAGCGTCAAAGCTTTCTCGGATGCGCTACTTGACCTGAATACCACGGACGAAGCTGTGAAGGAGAAGATCGTGGATTACTACGGGAAGGACGAGCTCATTTACTTGGGCCCGGACGAGAACATCATCCCTGAGGACATTGTCTGGATGACGAAGCGTGCTGCCCATCGCGACTACCCAGTCCCGCGCGCCTTCATCAGCTCAAAACCCGACGCTGGTTTCAACCACAAAGTGTATGGAGTTACCAGTGAGGGCGTCGCTGTCTTTGCAGATGTCGCTCTACGTTCGCAGAACATTGACCCGACCAAGCAGCCTTTCACCGTAAAGATCACGGGCGGCACTGACGGCGACGTGGCTGGAAACGTCATTAAGATCCTCCACCGTGAGTACGGCACCAATCTGCGTGTCGTTGGCATTTGCGATGGTACAGGTGTGATCGAGGACCCCCAAGGCCTCGACATGGACGAGCTGCTGCGTCTTGTGGACGAGTCGCTGCCTCTGTCGAGCTTTGACGAGTCCAAAGTGTCGCCTAGCACTGGCGTGAAGCACGACATTAGCACACCGAGTGGAATCCGAGCTCGTAACTCGATGCACAACCGTGTCAAGAGCGACCTGTTCATCCCTGCTGGTGGCCGTCCGAACACCATCAACGAGAACAACTGGCAGGATTACCTGGACGCTGATGGGAAGCCGTCGTCGAGCTTGATCGTAGAAGGCGCCAACTTGTTCATTACACCCGAAGCGCGTCAGCTGCTGTTCGATCATGCCGGTGTCGTCATTGTCAAGGACAGTTCGGCCAACAAGTGCGGCGTCGTGTGCTCTTCGTATGAGATTGTCGCGAGCATGTTGCTCGAGACCGACGAGTTTCTAGCCGTCAAGGACGAGCTGGTCGTGGAAGTTGTTGACAAGCTGCGTGCATTGGCTCGCGTCGAGGCTCAGCTGCTGTTCCGTGAGTACAAGAAGGACCCGTCGTCGGCGCTTCCACCTGCGAGTGAGCGCATTAGTCGCGCCATCACGCGCGTGCACGATGCCGTGCTGGCCTACTTTGACGACGTGTGTGACGAGGACCAGCAGATTTTGTTCACGCTCATCGACGAGCACCTGCCGCCAAAGCTGCGCGAGCTCGCGCTTCACCGCGTCCACGAGAACGTGCCGCTTGCGTACATCCGCTCCATCGTGGCTTCAAGTTTGGCCAGCAAGATCGTGTACCGAGAGGGTCTCCAGTTCACTGAGGCCTTGCCAGAGGGGAACCTGGGCAACATGGCGCTGCAATACCTCAAGCAGGAGAAGAAGGTGCAGCGTCTCGTGCAAGATGTGCGTGCGTCCCAACTGCCCAACAAGGAGGACATTGCCGATCTCATTGCTCGCGGTGGCGTTCGTGCTGGCATCGATACGCCCAACTAAAGGGTGTGCTAATCAAACGTGACCAAAGCAAAGCTCTCGGCTTCTTCACGGTGTGCGTGTTGTGGTGGTTCTTGTTTGGCAGGAGAGATGGTGGATGTCGAGTACGACAGTCTCGGCACGTTGTTAGTACTGCAGCGACTCACGGTTTCACGTGTTACTTGTTGCCGGACAGGTCTCGCATAACTCCGAGCTTTGTGGTGCTACTATGTCGGAGGAGACGCTTGTTCGCAGTGTGGACACAAAAGTTCGAGCTGCGAGGCTGCAGAAGGCTCCTGGCTTCAGTGCGAAGTGTTGGATGATACTGTCCGCGACAGGAGTAGCAACAAGATTCGTCGTACTGTGGACACGCTGCATCAGATTCGGGACCACGATAATGTGCGAGAGCCCGTGATCGCAACCATAAGCCTCAGCGCATACTTCAACAAGACATTCCGGTCGCACGAAAGCACCAGCTCGATACGAGCATTCGGCAAGTGCAACTTGACAATGCAAAAGCCATGACGAGGTCTTACAGGGGACCCTGTCACAGCTTGCTGCAGTGCTGCTTGTTCAGGTTTCCCCTTCATTCATTGCAGTCCAGCTGCCACCTCAGTGTTGCGATCCCAAGTGCTAACTTGCATCCTCGATCATGGGACGTAAGCCTCTTGCTTGACCACCTTGTCGAGCTCACCCCACGATATTTATCCTTAGCGTCAACGTTGCAGTGCACCAGCGTGGCACGGCCTCGGAATTGTTCCCTACGGACAAACAGTTGTCAACAGCAGAGTTGATGCTACACAGACACAAAGCTGCAGCAAGTTAGTAACCGAACACGTTGCATAGTATCATTGGCAGCGCAGCGCTTTGACAGAAACGCATCTCCGCAGCTACAGCGCGTAAGTCGTTCGTGCTTCCAGCATCCTGTCGCCTGAACCTGCTCTTTACTTTCTTCCACTCAACCCAATGCTGCTGTAGATAAACACGACCTGTACCATGTGTCGCTTCGGTTCTCAAGCTCCGATCGCAACGAAGATACTCTGCACCAAGAAGAACCTTAAACTGATTGACAAGTAGTACCTATAGTCCAAGACTAAACATCTCGTCGCTGTCCTTGCTTCCTTCCGTCCCTCCTTCTTCTTCTGTCTCGCCCTCTACCTCAATCTTGACGTCCACCTTTTCCTCCTCCTCTTTCGACTTGATAGTCTCCACCGACACTTGAGCCTCGCCAATCTTGGCCACGGCAGCTCGCAAAGCCGCTTCGTTATGCTCGCGAGCAGCTTGCTGCACCTGTTCATTGATCGACGGCGTTCCTGTTTTGCTCCCTTGCTCTGCGTCCGATGCTCCTCCCAAGACCGCAGCAGTCGCTGCGCTCTCCATCTCCATCGTCTGCGACGTCGTCACAGGCGACGATTCTGTGAGTGCCTCCAGCAAGTAAACCGAATCATCTGCCGTCGTCGTTGACGGTACCACTGCAGCAGATACAGCCACCCCTGGCGACACGCTGTCCGCGACCAGCGTCCCATTGCTGTCTCCAGCCACTTGTACACTAGCAGCAGCCGCCGCCGCCGCCGCAGCAGCGTCCCCATTGGTCACAATTGGATCCAGTCGATGGCGCGAACAGAAGCGCGCAAACCAACCAGGAGAGGCCTTGAAATCGGCCATCTTGTCATAGTTCTTGGCCAAGACGATGGCCTGCTGACGCACTGCCGTCTGCGTGAGCGGCATGAGCTGGTACGGCTGCGACTCGCGCATGCGCACGATCCACTGGTAGAGCTCCTCTTCAAACGGCGCGTTGCGCTGGAAGCCGCCGCGCTTGCGCTTGTCGCGGTTGTGCTCGTTGCCCATGTAATAGCGATTGCGGACCGTGTCTTGCATCTGCTTGAGCTTCCGGATCGCGCCTTCCGACACGCCGTAGCGCTTGGCGAGGTCCACGTTCTTCACTTTGGCTTCGCGCTGGATGATCTCGAGGATCTCCATGCGCTCTTGGTCGTTCAGACGCCGTCCTGCGCCACGAGGACCCATCGCTCGCTCGAGGCAAGTCGGTGGTATGTAGGAATGAGACTTTGTTTGAGTGTACCCCGAGGTAGATAGGTAGAGGGTTACTTGGTTACAGTGTGTGTAGTCTCTCTCTCTCTCTCTATGTCTGTGAATACAGCAGCGAGCGAGTTACTGTCTGTGCGATGGAAACGTAACCGAGCGAGAAGTTTCGGGTCAACTTTTGTCGTCGGTGTTAAGTGAGTCGAAAGCGATGGAAGGCCGTCTAAGTACGACATCAATAGCGCACAGGAATGTCGTGTGGTGGACATGAACTTCGTGGGACAATGGTGGGGTGGTTTTTTTTATGTGGCGATTTGTGTTGTTTGGCGTGGTGTACACTATTTGCGCACGATTCCATGCAGGTGACGACTTCCGAGGTGGTCAAGCCCGGGAGGAGGAAGACCCGCAAGCCACGGTCGCTGCTGCTGCTGCTCAAGAGCTTCGTGGGGCTGCGTGTGCGTATTGACTTAAAGAACGACTCAGTGGTCGAAGGCGTGGTGCAGGAGGTCGTCAATGACATGGACTTTACGCTCTTAGATGCGTGCGAGACAAAGCCAACGGTACGACTCGAGAAGCTACTTTTTATGCTTTTTATAGAAAGCAACTCGTGCTCGTCTACTAGATTGATGACTTATTTCTATTTAATTCGTGTGTGAATGCATACAGGGAGCTACTGTGATGCTGGACGAGGTGTTTGTCATGGGCAAGACGGTGCTATGCGTGCACATTCCCGACAAGATCAATATCTCCCACCATTTGCAGCAATACGTGCGTCTGGTAAAGCACCTTGCAGCTGCTGTACACGCGGAAGTACTGATTCGTTACGTTGTCATCACTGTTGAAACTTGCAGACCCGAATGCTGTGGCAGAGTGCAACGATGTATACAAGGGCAAAGCGCACATCAAGCTCGGTGCAGTAGATGTGCAAGAGAAACCGCAACAAGGTACTTTTGCTGACGGAGAAGTGCGTGAGGTCATCCGAGAGTGAGAACTGCTGTGCTGTGTCGACTCTGTAGCAGGTATCGTCTGGCGTACTGTTGCAGCTGCTGCTGTTACCGCTTGACTTAGACAGCTACGAACGTCTTGTGATTGCAGACTTGAGACTGTCACTGAGAGTCGTTGTGTACTCCGTACCAGCAGAGCTACGAAATCATGTCGCACTGGACCTTGCTTCACGCATATGCGCTGTGCAGCGGTCGACACGGTGGATTTGTGTTGGGTTCTAGACACCTCAGCTATGGGATGACAGACAAAAAGATGTGTCGTAGTCCGTCTACTCGTATATCAAGATCCCGAGTGTGCAGAGTGCTCCTGCAACGAGCCTTGGGTCGTCGACGCTTGGCGGCGTCATGTCCATTTCCAACAGACTTGCACTGGTGATTGCGCGCGTCTGCAATTCAGTTGTCACGGCGTCTGGCGTGAGTGCACTTCTATCTGCGCTTCAATATCACATCTCAAACTCTGACTAATCGAAAACACACATTTCGCGTGTCCTTGCCACCAGTCACAGACTCGTGTCTTCATGGCATCCTCGATCGATATAGTTGGTACTAGAAGCGACTGTGGTTCATGCCTACGTTTTACAAAACCCGCGGCATTTGTAATATATGTACAATACACAGATGTACCCGAAACAAGGTACGCGCGCATTGGCCAGCAAATTCGTGTGCCTTTGCTTCCCCTTTGGCGTCCAGTGGAATCTTCGACCGCGGCGTCGAGCAGGTGAGCGACCGCCAGCCACGTGCATTTGCCCGCGCAGAACGAGCAGAACGCAGTGACAGCTACTCAACCTCCTGTAGCTTATGTACCACTCGGCCGTTCTCTGTACCCATGTCCTAAAGCTGTGACGGTTGTTGTCCCCGTGTGTGTGTGTCTCTCTCTCTCTCTCTCTGATGTGCAGTGCTTCATCCCGAGTTCGACTCCCTCTCTCTCTCTCGCTCGCTTCAGCTACTGGATTAAAGTATGGCAGAAGTCGTGCAGAAACATCTGGCGGTGCAGGACCTCTCGAAGCTCAAGATTGAGGAGCTCACGCCACTCACGCCGGAGGTCATTAGTCGTCAGGTGGGTGCGGCCCTTTCACAGTCTCCTACTGGCCATAACGTCACGATATTGAGCTCATGACGTTTCTGAACTGGCTCTTCATCTTGTTGTTGTTGTTGTTGGCGGCGGTCGGTTTTTGGTGCTGTTTGGTTGTAGGCCACGATCAACATTGGAACTATTGGCCACGTCGCTCACGGCAAGTCGACGGTCGTCAAGGCCATTTCGGGTGTGCAGACGGTGCGGTTTAAGAACGAGCTGGAGCGAAACATCACCATTAAGCTCGGCTATGCCAACGCCAAGATTTATCGCGCTGAGAACGGCACGGGTATTGGCTGCTACCGCGCGTTTGGCAGCTCCAAACCTGACCGTTTTACGGACGAAACAGATGACAAGTTGGTGTGGGTGCTGCAGCGCCATGTGTCGTTCGTCGACTGCCCTGGTCACGACATTCTTATGGCTACGATGCTGAATGGTGCGGCAGTCATGGATGCTGCTTTGCTTCTAGTTGCGGGTAACGAGGTGTGTCCCCAGCCACAGACATCCGAGCACTTGGCTGCTATCGAGATCATGCGCTTGCAAAACATTATCATCTTGCAGAACAAGGTGGATCTGATCAAGGAGGACGCTGCCGTGGCCCAACATGAGCAGATCAAGAAATTCGTGGCTGGTACAGTCGCCCACGATGCGCCGATCATCCCAATCTCGGCCGTGCTGAAGTACAACGTGGACGTGGTGTGCGAGTACATTTGCAGGAACATTCCCATCCCAAAACGTGACTTCACATCGAAGCCCAAGCTGATTGTCATCCGCTCGTTTGACGTGAACAAACCTGGCGAGGACGTGGAAAACCTGAAGGGTGGTGTTGCTGGTGGCTCAATTCTGGAAGGTGTGCTGCGTGTTGGCGACGAGATCGAGGTGCGCCCCGGAATTGTCAGCAAGGATGAGGAAGGCAAGATGACGTGTGTCCCCATTTTCTCGCGCATCGTGTCGTTGTATGCTGAGAAAAACGACCTGCAGTTTGCTGTTCCCGGCGGACTGATCGGTGTCGGAACGCACATTGACCCGACACTTACTCGTTCGGATCGTCTCGTGGGTCAGGTGCTGGGTCTGAAGGGCAGCTTGCCTCATGTGTTTACGGAGCTGGAAATCAACTTTTACCTGCTAAAGCGTCTGCTAGGTGTGAAGACCCAGGAGGGCAGTAAGGCCTCGAAGGTGCAAAAGCTGTCAAAGGCCGAAGTACTGATGGTCAACATCGGCTCTACCGCCACTGGTGGAAAGGTGCTGGCTGTGAAACAGGATCTTGCTAAGATTCTGCTCACGGTTCCCGTGTGCACGCAGGAAGGAGAGAAAATCGCCATCAGTCGTCGGATTGACAAGCATTGGCGTCTCATTGGCTGGGGCCAGATCCGCCGTGGCAGCCGAATCGAGATTGCGGACTCCGAATAGATACATAATCTTCCTGTCCACCGCGTGTTGCCGCGAAGAAGAGTAGCCACCTCTAAGGAAGGAAGCTAGGAAAAGATCAGGTGAGACGGAAGAGCGATTGCGGGAGTTGTAGCTTGTGTCGTAACGCAATTCCAGTCTCATGCATTTCGTCATCTAGTTTGGTGATGCCTGCCTGCTGGCTGGCTGCAGCGTGCCATGTGGACGCGATAGTCGAAAAAAGCACGTGGAAGGAGAGCTGGTGCAGTTACATGTATGTATCCACCACTTACGGCCGATTGTCTAGCCCGAAATGATTACCGAGCATACACGATACTCGCTCGAGCTATGAAATGCGACTTGCGGTAAAATACCTGTCACAGCAACGGCCTTACGGAGCAAAGACGTAGATGGCAGGCTTACCCGGTGATGCCGTCTCCATTTTCCTTGTCTCTGCATTCGGCGGGATCTCTTCGCCCAGGTAATAGAACTGCAATGTAACAAACCAGCACAGGGCATTTTTGGTTAACAAATAGCATAGGACACGCATGCGTTAGTTACTGATCAAACAACCAAGAACCATGTGCGACGTACATCAATGTCCTGAAGCTCTAGCGATCGGCAGAGATACAACTTGTTAGAGGCAAGCACGCTCTTCTGGTCGTACGGCATCCTGTTGAAAATGACACCGACAATAGCAACATCGTCAGTATGACATTCGTCAGTAGCAGAATCGCTACCCTCGTACCTCAGCTCCAGCGCCTCACGACCACGCAGCTCAGCTTCCGCCTTGACGAACGCAGCAAACTGCATCACGTTCTTCGTGAGCTTCTTCAGCGAGTCGTCCCTGGTAATTTCACCCTTAAGCTGCTTCATAAAGTCAGCAGGAAACTGCTTCGTCGCGTCATCGAAAAGACCGTCCATAAACACGAGCACCTTCTGCTGCCACTCTGGGAACTCCGTTGTCAGATACACATGCGCATGGGTAGGCTTCTTGGCCGGCGTAGCCGAAACAGCCCCCTTCTTTCCCTTCGTCTTGCTGCTACTTTTTGTGAGCACTTCACGGAAGCTGCGGGTGATTTTGTTCAGAAAATCACCCGCACGCAGCAGCGCGTGGTCGACTTCCTCCGTCACGGGCCAAGGAGCCACCGACACGAAGCCTTGGTTGCCGATTGCGGTCCACATGTATTCGCAGAAATGCGGGCAAATAGGAGAAAAGATGACGAGCTGAGACTCGATGAATCGCATGATAACGTCATGGTGCATCGGTACCTCACTCCGGGTGCATATGTCGCGGTATGAGTCGCGAGCGATCTGGAACTCGAAGAAGCCCGAGTGAAGGCCTTCGCGCCACAGCAGGCGATCATAAAACGACGCCGTCTGCTTGATGTGGTCGTTCATTTGGTTCAAAAAGACCTTGTCGTTGAAGTTGAGCTCACCACGGCGCAACGACGCCTTATCATCCACGATCCGCTTAATCCACTCTTCCTCGGTAGTCAGACGCAGGATCGCCATGCGGCATGTGTCCAACGCGTAGTTAGCATCGTCCATGCCATCACCAGCATCAGCACAAGCGAAACGAGTGGCATCGGCACCGAACTCGACAGCGCAGTCTTTAAGCGTAAGGAAGTTTCCCATGGACTTGGACATTTTCTTGCCATCCACCTGCACATGTCCATTCGTAAAAAAGCCGCGCGGCCACTTTGACGGGTCATCACGCCAAATCTCAGCGTGATTGTACAGGCACATGGTCAAGTGGTTGCGAATCAAATCCTTGCCGGACGCGCGCACATCGACAGGGTACCAGTACTCAAACTCGTCGCGGATTTGCTTCAGCACGGCCAGCGGGATCGCACTCTCGGTAGGTGGTGAGGCTTTCAAGAAAATAAAGTCAAACACTTCCTTCGTCATCTGCTCAGGTCTGATGCCGTGTGGACCCAGCTCCGAGCCATCCAGGTTGGCCTGCAAGTGGTGCGCGATGGTATAGTAGGCCATGTAGATGGTCGAGTCCGTAAGAGACTCCACAACAAACTCGGGGTCCCACGGAAGACGCGTGCCGAGACCAGACTGACGGCACGGTGCCCACTCTTTCAGCCACCCAAGAGTAGACTTGTACTCACCAAGTGCCACCGGGTTGTACGCATCGAAGAGCTTTGGGTCGCTAATGTGATCCATGACGCGCTTTTTCCAGTCTTCGGCGCCATAGGTCAAGTACCACTGGTCCAGATGAGCAACCACACACTCGTCACCACTACGTGACATCACGAGTGACTCGGGCTCCCAGTACGGAACGCCATTGCCAGCGTCAATCAGTTCCTGGCGCATGATGGCCTTGGCGTCACACACCTTCTGACCTTTCTGCGAGCCCACAATGAGGATGCCCTCGTAGAAACCCTTGAGGTACACAAGCTCCTTAGCCTTAGCCAGCTTGTCCTTGTCATTCTGCGAAACAATCTTGAGGTCATGGCAAACCTTTTCAGCAGCCATATCGCCGAACCCCGGGATCTCGATGATGGGAACCGGCTCGTAGGGCAGCACCATATAGTCTTCAATGCCGTACTTTTCGCGCAAGGCAGGCTTCTGCTTCAAGTCACGAAACGCGGCGTAGTCGTCTGGCGAGTCGGACGGCACACTCATGACTACACCAGTACCCTTGCTCATCGAAATGGTGAGAAGCGGTAACGTGTAGATCGTATCGTATGGTGCGTTAGGCGATGCCAGCGGCAAACCCAGTAGGTCCGAGCCTTTCACCTCAAGCAAGCATTCTTCTTTCCCCCATACACGCGAGTATTCCTGGTGAGCCAGGTTGCGTGCCGCACGACGGCTCATCACAAACACGTCATTGTCATCGTTAATGAGGAAAGCGCCATAAGCGCCTTCAGGTAGCACAAAGCAGTTCGTCTGTCCGTACAGCGTCTCAGGACGCAGCGTCGCAGCAGCCAAGTATACCTTCTTGCCAGCAAGTGCAGCAAACTTCTCTGGCAGCGGCTCCTTCACACGCAGCTTGGCAAGCGTGTATTCTTGCGGCCCCACACCTTCACCCGACGCACGATCGTGATCTGCGCAGCTCTGTCCATCCAAAATGGAGTAGACATTCGGACGTTTGCCACGCACGACACGACCGTGGTCATTGAGTTTATTCAGCTGCCACTCGACAAACGCATTATAAAACGGGTTCACGTCTGTCGTAATAAACGACCGACGCCAGTCAATGTTCATGCCGAAGCGCTTGAGGTCAGCAATTGCATGGGGTGGAAAGTACTGGAGCCAATAGAGCGGATCATGGAACTTGGGGATCTCGTCTTCGGGAATGTGCGACATCTTGAGGATGTCGTACTGATGCACGACGCCGCCCGTCTTGGCTGCGGCCTTGGACTTCTTGCCATGTGCCTTGTTCAACGATCCTTCCATGCTCTTCTTCCCTGCATCAACAGTCTCCGACTTCGCCTCGTCCTTGTCTTGGTCATTAGGCTTCAGTAATGCACGGGAAAAGTCCGGTGGATTCCCAAACGTCTCGAGCTCGCGCTTGAGTTTGTTCGCTGCCGCTTGGATGGGCATGCCCGTGCAGTGGAAGGCAAAGGGGAACAGCACGTTCTCGCCCTGGAGACGGTGGTACCGGGCGGCAAACTCGACTTTTAACAGCGTAAACAGGTGCCCGACGTGCAAGTAGCCGTTCATATACGGGTACGGGAACGTCACGAGGTACTTGTTCTTCTTCGTGGCTGTCGCTGGCCTCGAGTCTGCGTCCGATTCAAAGAGTTTCGCCGCGTCCCACTTGGCCAGCACCTGGTGCTCGATGTCGATGAGGTGGTCACGACGCGCAAACTTCTTGGCGGCGGCGGTGGCGGCTGCTGCGTCGTCGTCGTCCGTGAGCTGCACGGCGCTCATCGTGGCCGTCACGTTTTCCATGGCGGGTGAGTGGTCGAGGCGGGTTGACGAGCCAATGAAAGAGTGGCAGGGAGGGACGGGGCGGAGGGCTAAGTACGCTTTGGAGCTCGGGTGCTTTTTAGGATTGAGAAATAAACTGCTTTTTACACAGGATGATAACTGATCGAGTTTCTTTTTTTTTAGACTTTTGAGATTCTGGGATATTTCATCGAACTGATGAGGCTCGTCGGATCGATGTGGTACGGAAATCGAGCGATCGGTCTCTCAAGATCAATAAAAACGGCTGTTTGAACCGCTCGGATACAAACAGCTGCAATTCGAAGATGGATAATATCGGATCACTCCAAAGTCCGACGTCAAACAAGATCACGCGGCGAAACTTAAATCGAAGGTCCGCATCACTCTATTTGAACGGGATAGCGCTTCCATAATCACGCAACTCTTGATAACGCACCCTAATGTAACACTCGCCAGCAGCAACAAGACACAGAGCCAAGATAGATGCACTCGGAGCGCCACACCGCGCGCTTGAAACGCCGCGCCGAGCGCCTCATCCCGTCGTCCCGGACCCACACAAGCTCCTCCGCCACCAACGACATCGACAGCAGCAGCAGCAGCAGTCGACGTCGACCGCCGCTGTCCACTTCAAGCACCACCGCTGAGTTTGCAGCGGCCTCGTCGCTTGCTGCAGTGAGTGCGTCGCGTCGCTATTCAAGCGCCAGGAGTCCGAGGGACATCAACATGCTGGTGGAAAAGCTCCTGGCGAAAGTCCACGGCTCCCCGTCTGCTGCAACCACACGCCGCACGGTCGTCCGGCTGCACAAGAGCGTGTCGAGCACGCCACAGACTGACGTAGTACGTGCCATTGCAGTGGTAGTAACGGTAGTAATTGTCTGCAGCTGCTGCAGTAGTGGTGGTAGGGGTAGGGGTGTCGTAAAGATTGCAGATTGTCGTAGAATGTGTATTGTATCAGTAGTACTGCGGTGGTGATCGTTGGATGACGAGACTGACGATTCATTGTGTAGTTTTCGGTGCTGGAGAAGATTAAGCGGAAGGTTGCAGCGGATGCGCTGCAAGATGATGGCGTGTCTCCAGCTGAAACGGTCACGCAGCTTCACGAGGTCTTTTCCCGTTTTGTCAAGCTCAAGAACCTGGACAAGAAGACGTACGTGCAGTATGTGGGAGACTGTCCTCGCGTTTTTGACTGATGTCTTGGGTGTGTGTCCTTAGCGAGGCGCTGGTGTTGCTCTATGGCCTGATGAATTCGGTTGGATTGCCAACGTACAATGAGCACGGTCGACACCGTGGTGTTGACTTTGCAACCGAAGACGGGGACGACCCTGCTGGGCATGGAGCGATAATGTCTGGTATGAAAAACTCAGAGACGGACAAGGCAGGCGGTTTGCAATGCAATGAGCCGGTACAGTCGATGCCGACGGCGTCTCCAAGTTTCGAAGGTCCAAGTGCTGCGTGTGCTTTCTCCTCGACAGGGCAATCAAAGACGGATCTCGACTCTCTCGAGGACTCGTTCAAATTTGCAGTCGGAATTGCTCCTATCCACAAAGCCCATCGAAGGAAGGGCAGCAGCACTCGTACTTCTTCTGACGCGCAGTCAGTAGTCGTTTCAAGTGCTGTAAGTGCTCCTGCCACTAGAGCAGGGCAGTCGTCTTTTGACGTGCCCGAGGAGGTTCTTTTGCGCGACGTCTTGTACGCCCTGCAAGCAATCGAATCTCGCTACTTGTACTTTGACAACGCACAGGATCGCTTCCAGATCACAAGAAGCGTGGGCGTCCCGACGCGTAAGTCGACAATGCCTTTTGTCGAGACGAAGTACTCACGCTTGCGATGATGTTGATAACAGCCATGCGCGAGCTAATTTATATGCTGTGTGACTTGGGCTGGCTGTATCGCAAAATTTCGGCGTACATCAAGCAGCATCGTGAGATGTTAGCCTTTGGCTTAGTGAGTTGCGGAGATTGTTGACGCCATTTGATTTCGAACGCGTGACTTATTGGTAAAGGTTTGTGGTCTTTCACTTGTAGGTGGGCCAAAGCTTTTGCCATATGCTTCACACTGAGCTCGTCGTTTACTTCCGTCTAATCGCGATCCTAGCGGCCCAAATCGACGAGGACGCGGAAACAAGGCAACCGAGCGAACGGGCAGCTAGCAGTCTTACCTTGCGAACACTTACCGTCTGGACTCAAGATGCATTTGACAAGATGCGATTAATGGCTCGTCTAATCGACAGGTACAATGGGTGTTGTCATGAAGCGATCTCTTGCAAAAGGGTGACGATTTAGCGAACGATGTATGCTTTATGTTACTGTAGTGCAGAAAGCCTTCGTGGTGGTGCACTCGCGTCCAGCGTTCACTCGCATGTTTTGCACGGTGATCCAGACGTGTCGACGTTCGTTCAAGCAGTGCTGAAACAGACTGCTGCTCCGATTGTGCAAATGATAAAGCGCTGGGTCTTCGAAGGAGAGCTGGAAGATGTGCATGTTAGTGAAGCGGGTATTCTTTTGTACTGTGATAGACCACTGCACCGATCTGACTTACGCGTTTTGAAGGGGGAGTTTTTTGTAGTGGCAGACTCGACTGTGAGTGACGATCAGTTCTGGGCTAAGAAATACACGCTGAACTTGAAGATGCTGCCAACGTTTATTCCCATGTAAGTCCATCGCTTTACCGTGCATGCTGGATCTGTTTTTATGACACGGTCATCGATTGTTCTTGTGGAGACAGCGAGCTCGCAAAAAAGATTCTGGTCATCGGAAAGAGTATCAACTTCATTCGCCAATGCTGTGGAAAAGCCGATGTGGGTATAAACACTGGACTTTCTTGTCGTGTCACGAGTACTGATCACTCGCTAATGCACGCAGTGGGTCACGAATGCAGCACAAGAGATTACTGTGATTGGAATGGGGACCGAGGATGGGACAGATTTTGCAGAGTTGAAGCGTTTTGAAACGATGATTGAAAATGTGTCAAATTCTACAAGCGAGTTTCTGATTCGCACGCTAATGGAGGACTATCAGCTTTTAGATCATTGCCAAGCGTTGAAGCGCTACTTGTTGCTGGGACAGGTATGCAGCAGCGTGGTTGCCCAGATCAATCCAGTGGGTGGCTCTTTTCTGACCAACGGTCTTTATGTTGTCTATCTGTAGGGCGACTTCATTCAATACCTGATGGACCTCCTGGGACCTGAATTATCCAAAAGGGGCTCACAAGTGTATCGCCACACTCTAACAAACGTGCTAGAGACAGCACTGAATGCTTCCAACGCGAAGTTCGAGGTTTGTGCTCACACAACGCGAATTTATACATCATACTCAGACTGTCACACTCGTCTGTTTCTTTAGTCAGCAGACGTCTTAGGTCGCCTGGATGTTGAGCTGTTGCAAGGATCCTCTGGTGAGTAACAGGTCGCCCGTATTTAGTTAGGCGCGATGAAACTGAGATTGTTTTGTTCTTCCTTTGCGCCTGTACAGCGGATACCGGATGGGACATATTTTGCTTGCACTACAACTTACAAACTCCAGTCAACAGTGTTATTCCGGCGTCTTCGATGCTCCAGTATCAGCAAATCTTTGACTTTTTGTGGCGAATGAAGCGCGTCGAGCACTCGCTGTCTGCATCGTGGACAAAAGATATGAACCTTGGACATGAAGTTCAGGTACGCCTTCTGGCATCTCTATACTGACCGATACGGGCTAATGTTTTCTGTTCGGTGTACCATAGGGATGTGTACCAGGAATTCGACCGGTTCTGCACAGAAGTCAGCTCGTACGGTCTCAGATGATACACTTTATTACTAATCTTCTGAACTACGTCATGTTTGAGGTATGATACTGCGGTCAATGTTCGAAGCTATCGTGTTAGCTCACCTTAATTCTTACACTTTTGAGGTATTGGAGACGGCATGGCATAAGCTGGTGAAGGACCTACACGCTGCAAAAGACTTGGACGAACTCATCGAAAGTCACGCAGCATACATTCTTTTCATCAAAAGAAACGTGCGTACACAACAATTGTGCAACTGCCCATCAGCGATGAAGGAAAGCGATTTGTACTGAGCGGCGTGTGCGTGTCCTGTCCAGGGTTTCATGATGAAGGAGTCAAGAGAACTATTGAAACAGCTAAAGCTTATCTTTGCAACGATCGTCAGATTTTGTAAGGCGCAGGAGAATTTATATACGACTGCCATGCACGAAAAGCACGTTGAAGAGAGGCTTCAGCGATCGATTCGGCACCAGAAACTAGACGTACGCTCTTGGTATTGTATTGCGTGGTCGGGTTTATTGGCGTTTCACGTATCGATATTTGATGTGCAGACTTCGTGGGGAATACAAGAGGAGAATGGATACAGTAAGCGAAGCGACAGAGACACGTTTGGTGCCGAGTCAAAGATTTTGCGTCAGATTGAAGAAGTAGCCGGTGAATTCAGCAACCAGTTTCTTGGACTTCGTGACATTGTCAAGCAGAACTCTATGCGGTACGAACCAGCATGTGCTAAGTTTGACGTGATATTCGTCCGTGTATCTTACTCTGCACATGTTGTTTTATCAGCGGATTACAAAGTCTGTCATTCCTTATGTCCCGCTTTGATTTCAACGAGTTCTATCTCAAAAAGACGGTTCTTTAGTAAACTGCAGATGACCGAGCATGTTGAGGTACGAAAAAGCATTCTTGCGTACATCCAAGTACTATACACGTGAACGCTTCCTTGAGCTGCCACGATTTTTGTCATTTCAGGTGCTGCGTGGTATCGAGAGAACATTTAGTGATTCGAAAGCTTCTGCATAAATCAGCAAAGCTGGTTCCGCCGAGGTCGGCTTTCCATGTTGACGGAAAATAGATCTACCAAGTACTGCATCACTTCTAGCGTGTACTTGATGAATATCGTCCGTCACGGATGCACCCTGCAAGCTCGAAGACACCTTTGTTGTGCTTTGTCTTGGACGCGACCTATGAAGGAAAGACTTACCGAAGCGCTGATCATTTGTACGATGTTGTGTGCTGCGCTTTTCAAAGTGATTCGCCAGCGGTGATACGACGTTCTTCTACCATCTTCGTTATACGTGCGCTCCAAAGCTGTCGCACGCTCTTTGTGTCATTGAACTGGTTCTGTTTCGATACTACAATGCTCGTTGAGAACAGGAAATGGGGCAAGCGCGTTCAAGTTTTCGCCAATTTCGGAGGTTGAGATTTCCATCAATCTTCTACGAGAGCATGGAATGACATGGCACCAAGAAAGAATGGGCAAAGACACTATGGCCAATTTTACTACACCCTGACTACGAGAATGTGCTGTGCGCGATGTAACGTGACGAAACAGATGTCTGTGGCTGCATGGGAAGTTGCTGGATGTTGGCGATACAATCGCGGTATCTCTGGACTTTGCAGTGATGAGTTCAAGAGTGGAAGCTGTCTTAACGAAGTGATCCGGTCGTACTGCAGCTCGATACGTTCAAAGAGTACAGATTCGTGGCTCACGAACTTTGCTGGTGAATTCAAAGAGCTACTTCGATTTTGCGTCGCCATCCGCGTCGTCGTTGGCCGCAATCAGTTGGACGCAGAGGATGATCAACTTAATGAGCACCGAATTGACCAGCCGGTGGCTCGAAGAAGAGGCGTCACGAGCAGTAAATTAAAACGCAGTTTATCATGCAGAACCGACAGAGCTGAAGCTACCAGCCAAGACGGCGACCAAGCATCTCACACAGCTTTTCATTGTATGGTGCGTAGAAGGCAGCCAGCCTGGCGCGGACGGCGTCGTCCATGGGATCATACTTGCGTGTGTTCTTGGCTGACGGGTCCTTGATCCGGTGATACGGCAGACCCAGAAACTTGAACACTTTGTCCATGGTGATCTTGTGTTGAAATCAAACAAATCAGCTCAGCAACATGATTGAACAAGGATGATGGCAAATGAGCAATAATGTACGTACATGGAGCTTCTCAGTGGTTTCGAATTCGTCAAGAGTGAGCAGCATTGTGTTCTCGATACCGTATGCCTCTATCCAGCCTTTTAACTGTAGAGCGTACAAACCACGGGCCACAAACGAGTGCGCGCCGTGGTCGAAGGCAAGACGCTGGCGCATCACTTTATCATCAAATTCCTCGAAATCCATGTCCGGGTGTACACCGAGCATCGAGAGCTCTTGGAGCTCATCATCGACGATCTGCTCGAAGCTACGTCCATTTAGAAAATGATGGCCACGGTTGTGCAGTTGTTTCTCCGAGCCCTCGATGTCGGCAGTCATTGAAAAGTGCGAGTAAGCGCGCTCCAGCGGGTTTCGCATAATGGCTAAGATCTTCCGGCAATGCGGGATGACCTGCTTCATGCGATTGATCACCGTCGATCCACCGAGCATGTAACTAGGCGTGGCTTCACCCGTCATCAGCGATGGATATCGGTACAAAATCTTCCTCTCGAAGTACGTATCCTCATAGTACCGCAGATGTTGCTTGGCACCTTCGGGCGTGGATGGATCTAAGAGCTTTTGATTCCAGCGCCAGTCAAAGTAGTGAGTCTCCTTGCGCTTGGCAGGCCATACAAGGTCGTGCTGCAAGATGTAGTCGTACAATGACGTTGTGCCTGCTTTCTGTGAGCCAATAATTATGAACGACGGAGGCAACCGCTTGCCGTAATCGGTGGACAAGTCGACCGAGCGACGCGTCTGCCACACGACCGTACCAGGCTTGAGGTCCACGCGGTTCAGCGGAAAGCCGTCTTCAACGTAGTCGAAAATCAAATGGACGCGGTGCTGATCCCAATTGTTCTTGACGCTGTGGCGACTGATATTGTTGAGCTCGTAGAGCGTGCCTTGCTGGAGCTCATAGCGCTGCATGTTGTCGTCATTGGGACCGACTCGAAAGTCAACGTCGGGACTCGTGAACACTGGAAGGTGCATGCGGTGCGTAAAGTGCACCCAGGACCCTGTGTCGTGATGAACTGGAATGGTCGCTCCTGGCGGCATCGACGCCAAGATACAGCGCACGACAGAGCGCAGCGGAATGTTGACCTGCTCGAAAATGGACGTGAGTTCCTTGTGCCACGAGTGGAAGTACGGGAACGTCAAGACGCTTGTCAAGTAGTCGTCGCCAAAGACAAAGACGACTTTGTCAATGCCCCACGTATCGTGCCCCGCTCGACGCACTGGGACGTTGTCCTTCTGGTTGGCTGGATCCCAGAGCTTGCGACCGCCATGGACGATCCGTTGCTGCAACATCGACACGTCGATGTTTTCTTGACAAGGCACGACCATGGCCAGGTGCTTGGTCACTTGATCGGGCAGCTCTTGCGTCGGCACTCGCTTGTGGCTGTCAGGAAGAAAACAGCGCAAGTGTTCGTTAGACGCCTCGACATGTCGTCACTCTTGTTGCTATTGTTACGGTTGTCGATTGGATTATGATGCCTGGTTATCATGATTGATCCATTCGATGCTGTCCTGCTGTGACTATTTTTTGTTCTAGTTGTTCTTATTCGTATCATGACACGCAGTATAATAGACATTGGCGTACTGGAGGGGTACATGGTTCAAAGTGGCGATCGTGGGCGTGGTTGTGGCTACACTTGCGCTGGTCATGCTTTTGACCGAGCTGTGGGTCTAACGTGGTCGTGGTCGGTGGTCAACAGCGTACGCGCTATGTGCGTCCGCCACCAACCACACGAGTGATACGTAATCAGTCCGTCGACGTCGTGGTCTTGGTGTGATGTGCACCACTCTAAATCGGTACCGCCGCGGACGGAGCGATTGGCTGGTAGCTCGCGATTCCAAGCGCGCTTAGTTGGCGTTCCGATACTGTGCAGTGAGAAACTGGCCTGCTTCACATTTAAGCGCTTAAAACTGCCCCACTGTCAAAGCGGTGGTTCCCAGCGCTCTCACTTGGCGACAGTCTTTTTGCAGCGCCGTCTCCATCAAGTTTCAATTTAAAGGCTAGCAATATGGTGCGTGAACAAGCGCGAGGACTGTGCTCAACGACGGTCGATGCAAAGGCGGCGTTGAGACAATGCATATGAGGTGGACGTGGACGTTGAAACTGTCACTCTGCAGAGCATGTCTGCAAGTCAACTCTGAAGCAGGTGCATCAGTCAGTCAGTCGGTCGGTCGGTCGGTCAATCACTCCTTTCAGTACTCGGTCTCTCTCTAAAGTACGACGCTACGGACGGATAAAAATAGAGCAATACAGCGTGGCAGTTACAGCGGGTCAACAGGATACAGCTACGATACTCCAAAGAGAGCGAGAATAGAGAGGCCGCAATGATCAACCCGTCCACCCGCCCGACTGACCGATTAAATGCCATTGTCAAGACGAGCTGCCAGCGTCCACCTTCGCTTCACCTCCAGCTGCAATAGATTTTTCCTTTATTTGCAAGCGCTAACAGCTGTACCCCTCTCTGTGTGTCTCTCTCTATTTGAATCGATGGTCCAATAGGGTATCGATCTTGTCGCTGGTGGCAAGGTCGTTGGCAAAAAGAACCGCTCGTGCCCCAAGTCGGACAATGTGTACCTGAACCTCCTCGTTCGGCTGTACCGTTTCCTCGCTCGTCGGACGGACGCCAAGTTCAACGACATTGTGCTGCGTCGTCTCTACCAGAGCAACGCGAACCAGGCGCCTCTGTCGCTGGGCAAAGTTGTTCGCTTCATGAAGAAGCACGAGGGCAAGATCGCTGTCGTCGTGGCTACTGTCACGGACGACATTCGTCTGCTGAGCGTGCCCAAGCTGACGATCGTGGCTCTCAACTTTACCGAAACGGCCCGTGCTCGCATTGTCAAGGCTGGCGGCGAGTGCTTGAGCTTCGACCAGCTTGCTCTGCGTGCTCCCAAGGGGACCAACACGGTGCTGCTCCGTGGCGCTCGTAAGGCCCGTGGCGTGTACGCCCACTTTGGCCACAAGTCGACGCTCGAGTCTGTGCACACGCACGACCACGTCAAGCCGTACGTCCGCAGCAAGGGCCGAAAGTTTGAACGTGCTCGTGGCCGCAGGAAATCGCGTGGCTTCAAGGTGTAAGCAGCCTAGCCACAAGGACACTGATGATACCAGGGCTTCCCTGCTTGTGCATTCCGACGTTGGGTTTGCGGGTGGTTGTCTTCGCGTTGCACTAGGTGCTGGTGTGGCAGAAGCAGCATGGTCTTTTACAAGCTGTGGCGTAGTGGTGACAGGATGTTTTTGCTGCTTGGCGCCAATTGTGCAGTCGCAGAGACGGCTTCTTGCTCATGAACGATGGAGTAAACGGATGCGGGGAATAAATTGAGACGCGCACCACATTTGTCTTGATATTTTCTGGTAACATCTTGGATTCGCACACGTGTAGGACGACGAACAAATTTGTGACCTGGCAGCTGCTGCGCAAGGGTGAAGCAAAACAAGCGGAGTCATTTCCTACGCGATAGAATGTACTTGAGCTTGGCGACGATCTCAGCTACAGATTGAAGACACTCGAGCACGACGTTTAGCTGTTAGTCGTACTTCACCACCACAATATGCACAAGAAACGCTCGTGCAATACGCACCGCACTCGTACGGCGAGTCTGCCGTGTAGTCGGTAATGATCTCCTCGATACTGTCCTTGAAGTAGATCTGGAACTCGGACGGATCTTGGTTGAAGCGCACCCACACCACACCGGACATTGGCCTCTCTGCCTGTTACATACGAAACACGCAACACCACGTGAGCAAACATACATACACCTGTAATGCAATTTCGGCAGCTACAATGCCTGGCACGTACAATCTTAGTGGACTTGCTCGACGTGATCACGCGCTCTCCCACTTTGCGGTTGTAGATCTTGTTAAGATCGATACCGAGCATGCGCTGCTGCTTCTTGCCGTACTTGTTTTTCTTAATGATGTGCCATTCCTTGAACATTGCGGCTGTAACATCATTGAACATAAACGTTTCCGGAGGCGGTCGAGAACGACTGTCAAGATTCGTAGTCTCCTCCATGGACGACGGAGCTGGAGCAGAAATCTGAGGTGCATCGGCGAATATTTCTGAAAACAAACGTAACAACTTGGACTTAGACCGTGCCACCAGGAGAGTGCAAAAGGACGATATGGACTTACTCGTGGCGAGTGTTACTTCGTGCAAATTGAGCGGCCGCAATTTGGTGTGCATATCGATCTCGTCGCTGGCGAGGTCGAGACGGTCGCGATCGACCTCGCTAATCTTAAGCACGTACAGCTCCTGAAAGAGCTGCAGCCGGTGTTTTTTATTGAGAGTCGGTAGCAGATCTTGGCCCACCGTCGTGCCATCAATGGCCACCACTGTGTAGTCGTCGCTCTTAGGCCTGAACATCCCGCAAATACACGTGAGCTAATGGCGCTTCCACAGAAACAATGGAAACAGCGGCAGACCGCACATGAAGATCTTGAGGAATGCCTTGTCGTTGGCTGACGGTGTCTTGGCAGCAGCAGCACTTGGCTTCGCCACTGCGGCAGGTGAGGCAGTATCTATAAGACACACCATTCCAATGAATGACAAAACGACTTTAGCATCCAGCTGACGTCAACAAAAAAGGCAATTAGCTCAGCGTACCGGGAGTTGCATCGCTTGTTGGCGGGCAGGCATCTGGCCGCTCGCACAAACAGTACTCATGGCCGCCAGCATCACCAAAATTCTTGATTTTCCGCGAACGGTCGAGAGCTGACCCCACATAAACACCTTCAGTATTTGCAATAATCTGTTTACCATCGACACGACCTACCTGGAAAGTCCTCGTCGGGAATGCCGTCTGAGTCATGCAGTCGAAGTTCGTAACACTCGGGGTGGCCATAATACAGCGTCGGCTGGCGCGCATTAGCCTGATGCACACGCAGTAGCTCTTGAATCGCTTCATCGACGGTCGACACGTCGTACAACTATCAACAAACAAAATGAAAACCATAAACCACACCACAACGTCAGCGGTACCATTCCACCATCTTCTCAACCAGACCTTCACCACATGACATACATCGATTTTCATCTCGTCCCTCGTGGGCAAGTAGATCGTCAAATGCAACACAGCACTTCCATCCGCTCCCATCATAGGTGGCCTCGCCCCCAACGTCGATGCTGCTGGACCCTTGAGAGCTTTATCCAGCAGCGACAACTCGTGGAACGACATGGGCAGCACCTCTTCTCTCTCGAACGTAAATCCGTCGTCCCCATCTTTGGCCTCTTCAGCTGCAACTGCCGTCTCCGTCTCTTCTTTAATCTCACTCTGGCCACCAGCACCAGCAGCTGCAGCAGCAGCAGAGCCAACAACGACTTTCTTGTCCCCACGTCCTGACTGCGTCGACGGCCGACGTCTCAAGGACTGCGCTGCACTACCACTACCCGCCACGCACTTCTCTCGTCCGTCCCTCGTCGTCTCGTCTCCAGCTTTACCTCCATTCGACACGACAAAGCCACCGGAAGTGCTGCCTTTACGTAAACATTTTGGCGCTTTCTTGCCACTGAGAGACGCGGTCCCAGAGCCGGAAGCAGCACTCGACGCCTGCGGGTTAAACGCCGTCATCTTGTCCAGCCACGAATTGCGCAGCTGCAGCTCCATTTTTGGCGACGAATTGTAGATCCGGTCCACCTCCGAGTCCTGACGGTCGTGGAACGTCGGACTGTTGCACGCAGCGAGGCGCATGAGCCCCACCACGTGGTTCAGCTCGCTCAGTTCCGTGAACTGCATCCTGGAGCAAATGACGACGGTAATGGACTGACTGACTGACCGTATCACTCTAAGACGATGCCCGAACGATCAATAGAGTTCTTTATTTCGCTTCGTTATCGAATAGAGCTTCGTATACGCTTTCGCTCGGATCGATCGAGACCAAGGCTGAAAAAAGGCTAATTTGTGAAAACCGACCACATTTTGGCTTAAAAACCGAAGCGAGGTTGTGAAAAATCAGGAAACGAGTGACCGAGAGAGTCGAGGGAGCATGTTCTTCTCGGGGGCCGTGGCTTCGGGTGGCGCCACGGACGCGCATTTCCCTCCATCCAAAGCCGTGATCCTCATTGGCGGTCCGAATCAACCTGGCAACCACTTCCGTCCGCTGTCGCTGGACCTGCCGAAACCGCTGTTCCAATTGGCTGGTCGAGAAATGCTCTATTTCCACGTGGAGGCGTGTGCTCGCGTCCCTAATTTACAGGAGATCTTGATGATTGGCTCGTACGATGAAGGGCTCTTCTCCCGCTTCTTTGACTCGGTCTGTCGGCACTTTAACGTGCAGATCCGGTACCTGCGCGAAGAAAAAGCGCTGGGGACAGCGGGAGGGATCCGCTTTTTCCGGAACGAGATCCTGGACAAAGACCCCGTGCACCTCTTTGTACTGCACTGTGACGTGTGCTGCTCGTTTCCGCTGAACGAGATGATGCACTTCCACTTGAAACATCAGGGCACGTGCACGGTGCTGGGAAAACGGGTGTTTCATGATGAAGCAAAGAAGTACGGCTGTCTTGTTGCAGATCCTGTGAGTAAGGAGATCCTGCACTGGGCAGAGAAACCAGAGACGTTTGTAAGTGACATTATCAACTGCGGGGTCTACCTTTTTGATGTGGCGCTTATGGACACGATCGTCAGTGTGGGGGACAAGATCAGTCGACAGAGACTGCGTAGTGAGTCCAACTCGGAAGCGAACACGCAGCACGATCTCAAGAAACTCTTTCCTGAATTCAGTAATCGTGACAATCTCCGGTAAGTAGAGCACGTTGTAGAGTGTGTGAGCTCGCCAACCAATTGACGTTGAGGTTTTGACTGTGTGTTGTGGCATGACAGACTAGAGCAAGATATTCTGCTACCCCTTGCTGATCAGCACTGCCTCTACGTACACGAGCTCGGCGATTTCTGGTGTCAGATCAAGACGCCTGGAATGGCAATCACGTGCTCGGAGCTTTACATGCAGCGGTTCCGGTTTACAAATCCTAGTGCTCTAAGCACAACGGGTGGGAAGTTGTCTCCGATAATTGAAGGCAATGTGGTCATCGACATTTCAGCGAACGTGCATCCGACGGCAAAGCTGGGTCCAAATGTGACCATTGCAGCTGGTGTGATCATCGGAGCGGGAGTAAGAGTTGCTCACTCGATTATTCTTGAGGGCGTGACCATCAAGGACCACGCGTGCGTGCTTTTCTGCATCATCGGCTGGAATTCCATTATCGGCCAGTGGGCTCGAATCGAAGGACAACCGCCAAACGCCGCGCAAATTCAGGTGCATTCGGCAGAGACATCGCTCGCGCGAGACGTGACCATCTTCGGTGTGTCAGTCATTGCGAACCCGGAGATCATTGTTCGCAATTGCATCGTTCTGCCACACAAGACGCTCACGCAAAGCTACCACGATGAAATTCTATTGTAAAGCAGTGAGGCTCCAGTGGCTTCACCGGCTGCATGAAGCTGTCGAGTTTGTGGTTCATGCAGCTGTCAGGGGCGAGCCAAATGCATTGAATGAAATGATTATAGTCACCGCTGAACGTTTTGAGAAGATTATGCTGTGACCAATACTGACACTTCTAACAACAACGATGGAAACCGTCTGGCTCTCACATCTACTGCTTGCCCTCTCCGCTATGATGATTCAGCTATGTGCATCTTGTGCACGAACGGAAGATTTTTGTTAGTGGATGTCGTGAAGTTTTTTAGCCTTACCCCGTCTACTTACTACTATCTCATTGCTGATTTAGTTAAAGTTCTTACTGACGTCTTGCAAGTCAGAGTCTAAGTCTGACTGAGTGCACTCCAATGAGCTTGTAGGACGTAGCTGCTTTCCTAATTACTATGTCGATACGGATTTCGCGTCCGGTGATGGCAATAATCTCATTGCTTTCGCTGAGCGGTAATACTGGCCAAACGCTACTCGTGCTCCAGTATGCGATCGGATAAGCAAATAAAATTGTAGTCGTGAAATGCCATTTGCGAGGTAAAAGTGCCGTCACGGGTGCGTCACATGGACATACATCATTTGTATATTGTACACATATTCTTGTGTCTCCATGTAATAATCTTTCCACTATGTTGGCCCAGTATGCGTGCTCTCAATATTTGATTGTAGTTGTATCAGATGACAGAGCCAATGTGGATAGCTTCATGATCCGGCGTTCAATTTGCTTCAAACACTACCACGAGATGGGTCCAAGCTGTAAATGTCTTTGGTCCTCTTTACTGGATCAATGAAGGTAGTTAGTTGTCTTGTCCCCAGAAACGCCAACAGACCTATCAGTGCCGGATCGATCACAAACGACACGTATGGACGGACACCGACGAGCCAGCGCCAATTGACATCAGCCGCTCGAATAAAAATCTATTGACGCTCAAGCAAACGCAGGCCTTCCGTCTTGCCCACACTATGCTGACTCATTGCATAGTCTAGTGCGGACCAGGTCGATTTTGACCGTCGAAGAGACCGACCAGAGTACGTACAAATGTTCTGGAGGCAGCCTTCCGTCGTGACTTGATGATGCTCGCTTCATTATTTTGTCGATATGATCTACCCTGAATAATTAGACAACCGTGCGCAAGGGTCTGCCCGGTACATGATGTGTGCCGAGGACTTCTAAATGAATGCCGACAGTGTCTTTCACGCAATTTTGGCGACTTTGCTGAGAAACAGTTTGGTCCACCGCGTATTTGTCCAGACGAGCAAACAAGGCCAACTCGAAACAAAAGGTTGGACAAGATGCTACCGACCTTCACAACAAACGCACAATGTGCAATACAACCACATCAACTCAGCAAACGGGCACCCGACGGACGAGTCCAGTTATCACTTCCGTTCCAACGTAGGAGACTGTCCTTTCCGACGACTCCTGCGTGACCTCTTCTTCTTACGTGCTGCACCAGATGATACAATAGGCCGCACTTCACTCTCCATTATCGCTGCTTCTTGATCCACCACCGGTGCGTTCAAACTGTCGGTCTGAACTTTCGTTAGCGGAGCTCGATCGAGAGGCCGACGACGCGAGCCCAGCACTCAACAGTAGCACACAGAGTCCAACAACCATGAAATTTGCGCCTGCTGCCACCATCCCTGTAGCAATTACGGCTGCCGAGATCCCTTTTTTTCCAATCTGTGGTGACACTTGGTAGCCGTAACGTGCCCACGTCACAAAGTGCTCGCAATTCCACCATAACAGCCAGTATTGCGTGTTATGAAGGCGGGACATGGCACGTCGTGCGATTTCTGCCCCGTTAAACGGCCGCCGTTTATACTTCGCCAGCATTGTCGCATCCAGCTCGTCCGAATACTTTTGTACATCACCCACACGGTAGTTTCTTGCCACGAAGTCGAGGGAGTCCACGCGCACTCGGAAGCTATTCCAACGTTCGGCCCACAAGTGCACGACTTGATCATCACCTACATACAGAGCCAAGTGGTGTACCAAATATTTCTTCTTAAAGCATATAACGTCGCCTGGGACAAGACCTCTCGACATCATGTTTTCCATCACTTCTGTCGCAACGAGAGAAAAAGTATCTGACAACTGCAGTTGATCCAGTGCCATTTTTCTGATTCCAGGTGCCGTTCACGGCGTTTGTGGATAAAAGGGGCTTCTATTGAAGCTACACGAGACAGAATGTGACAGCGACAGTTGGTGCTAATCACCGGTAAATACCGACCACTCTCCCTCTGTTTACTGCCTTCCACACTCCTCAGCGTATCAGATGTCCCACTATCGAAAGGTAGCGCAGAGCGACGAGATGTTTAGCGGTGGGCAGCAGCAGTCTGTACGTCGTTACAAGTCGGCAGGCTCGATCCCTATCGCTCAGACGCCACGTCTCTCGGCTCTCTCACCACTGTATCCGCTCCCATCGTCGCCAAATTTGGCGGTCTCCTCGATTATCATGGACGACGCTATCGGCGATCTATTGACCCGCTATTTGCCCCTATTTTTCGATTTATTGGAAAAATTTCAGTATCAAAAGGTCATTCATTGCAATAATTATATCATGCATTGCAATAATTATTCCAAAATTTGAATGGACAAACGTAGGTGAATGAGAAGTCGGTGGTTATTAAACTTTTGTATTGTGCTGTAGGCACTGGAGATTCTAGAGGAAGAGCAGGAGACACCATGGAAGGAGTGGGAGGCTTTTCAAGTGATGCTGAAGCTGGGAGCGTCGTGTGAGAGCACGTACGACATTTTGCAATTATTGAGATGGCGTTCTTTAGAATGGGACGGGTGAGGTAGACTGACTGCTGGGGTCGTGCTGGAGCAGGTATCATCGAATGAAGTACTTGGAAGGAGAGTTGGTGGAGACGGACACGATCGAGCACATGTATGGCAAGTTGACGGTACTCATGACCCACTTGGCTGACGAGTTGAAGCCAATTGTGACAAGGCAGAGTCGCTTCTGTTCCATGGACTCGCCGACAATGAGTCGTGATGTTGGAGACACGGACAGTGCTGCAGACCAAAGTCGTGCAGGGAAAGGTAGTGACGGAAAGGAGCATGAGATAAAGGACTTGCAGGCGGTGGAGATCAATCTCTGTGGCAACTTCAGCTACTACATTGAATTGCTGGAGCAAGGCGCCGAGTTCTTTACGGTGCGTGACCCATTCGCTCGATTTGTGTGAACCGCACTTCTTTGCATGCTAATTTCTGGATTTGCAGCAGCTTCGCATTCCCATGATACAGATCTATCGTGGATTGGCACTTTCGAGTGTATCTCGTGACTACCACGATGTAAGACGATTGCAGATTCGTGCATGTCAAAAATGTTTTGGTTCTCATAACGCTGTTTGTCGATCGTAGATACGAAAACGAATTGATGCTTTATTGCTTTGTGCTCGCACATTTTGTCACCCGCTACTTGAGACGATGAAACAGTCGGTTTTTGAGGAACTGAGCACCGTGAAAGCAGCTGTGGAGTGCGAAGTTCGGGTAGCAGAGTACGACTTCACTCGCTCAATAGTGGCGTTGCATCAGCTGAAGGTCCAACTGCGGTCCTGGAGTGATCACATTGATGTCGTTTCAGACTACCCGCTATTTGAAGGTAGTGGTGTCGATTTTGGTGCAGGTGGTGACGAAGAGGGTCTGCTTTACGATGAATCTGATGAGAACTATGGTGTCACGTCGGATTCGATGCAATCGAGCTCAAGCTTCCAGTCTTGTCCCCCGCTTGTGTGCTGTCATGTACGAAACTCAAGCTTTAGCGGCGATCCGCGTAACGTCGCAGGAGGCGTACCGGGTGGAGTTTCTTCTTCGCTGGTGGAGTCGCTTGCGTCGTATTGTGGTGGGCGTTTTGCTAACCTAGGCGAAACTTCCTATGACGTCGAAGACGAAACGGTCATGCCCGAAGCTGACCAGTCAGGTGTATCCCTCGATCACGACTTGAGCCCAGCTTCTTCCGATGTGCAAAGTACGTTCAGGCGTTTGTTATCACATAGCAGCCTGTTACGACGAAGCAGCGTTGGACTGGCATCTGCATTGCCTATCTGGCGTGGGCTTGTTCAGAAACCAGGCGACCCGTACGTTGGCTCTGGTGGTACGAACTCCTCTATGCCGACTAATGCATTGGAGCAAGCCATTTTGGCTGGTGGGGTGAACGGTGCAGGGGGAAATGTTAGTGGTTCAAGCACGTCTCTCGGGCCTAGCCAAGGATTTCTGAACGGCGGAGGCGTTGTTGTTGGTGGTACAAATCCTGTTGCGGCTGAAATGCTGGCATCTTCGATCAAAAACCAGGAACGGGAAGATGGTTTCGCTTTGCCAGTGTTTCGATGGGCCAAGCGGTTTTACCGTTCGCTTGTGGCTAAGTTTACGCTATACTTTCATCGCTGGCTTGAGCCGTTCGAGAAAAAGACGGACTATTTGGCCCTCGAACTTTCTCGCTACATCAAAACTCCACTTGGCATCTCCTATCTCCAGTTGATGGACGTGCTGTTGTCTCGAAGCTGTACGTGCATTTTTTCTCTCAACAGGGCTTAACTGACATGATTTTGTGTTGTGAACAGCACACCGAGGAGACGGGAGTAAAGTGTACATCATGCTTATTCTTGAGACACAGGCTCTTGAAAACAAGGGTGTACATTACTACGAAAACGGGTACCGTTGTCCGAGCTCGAGCAATGCAATCTACACTTGTAAAGTTCGAGAAAAGGAGGCTGAACAGCAAGAGCAGGAAGTGAAGCAAAGAACCACTGCATCAGCCAGCTCCGCTGATACTGTCGGAATGAGAAACCGCATCACTTCTCCTGCCCCTTCCAGAGACAGAAAGGTAATGCATGGACGGAGTGTGGACCAGCACAAAAACGACGCCTTGTTTACACAGGTTGATCGTGAAGAGAATGAAGAACAGCACGACTTCTTCGAGCTTTGTGGTCTTCGAAGTTGGCCAGCAGTGTTTTGCTATCCTGGAGGCTCGTCTCCCCCGCTTGACCACTGGCCGAACATCGTCAGTCTCATCATGGATAATCGCTCTTCACTTGATTCTGTCCATCCAGTGTAAGCCCTTGATGTGAAACGCGCTTGCACCTCTGTATTTACTGCCCAACCTGTTGCTTGTGAACAGCTTCATGCATTTTGAGCGGCGGCAAAAGACAACATACCATATCGCTAGAGTGGACGTCGCCATGTACCTCGTTGTACATGCAGAAGGGATGAAGAAGTCCAACGAGAAAGTCACGCAGGTACGGAACGCGCTTGTGAATTTACGCCGACAACTTACCCACACCGAATCTGAATGGAAACAGGACTTCGTGCAAATAGTGGCACAGAACCTACAGCACTCGGGAGCGTTTGCACCTCGCCTTTTTGCATCTGGCACGTCGACCTCAGCGTAGTCGCTTGTATATTCTTCTAATCCTGTTGTGTAATGCGATCGTGCCGGACAGCATTTGCGTCAGCACCCTTCCACGCGCGATAGCTGCTCTGTGTCGTAAGTTCCAATCGGCCCGAAATACGTGACGAACACGACCTGTTAAAGGATGTAAACGGGCTTCGCGTCACCTGGTGAAAAAACCTCATCGGTGTCCACACACCTGATCATTCCGTCGGACCTCTGCTGCGTCAGCAGCTCAATTCCTTGCTTGCTGTATACTCGACCATTAGGTAGCACAAGCGGTGGGTTATGCTCGTCCATAACACTCTGCGTAACGCGACAAACCAGTCGTGAATGCGGGTGGTACGCAAATGGAAGTCCCGCGCACAATTGACTGCCAACTTCACTGCACGCTGGGCAGAGGGGTACAGATGACTCGGTCCAAGGATGTACGCGTTTTTTACAGCTAGCAGCCACTCGGTCGTTGTTATCAGAATCATCACTCCTCGCTTGTATCGCTGCGCTTGGCTCAAACGATACCTCGTCACTTTCATTACCTCCCTCTCGGTTGCCAGCACCGTCACCACCTTCTTCAGTATTTTCGCGACTTCTCTTGCCTCGAGATCCATTTTGACAAAGCACAGCCTTTGTGCTTGCGCCTCGAATACGATGACACGCTCGTGTATTCAACGTAGACAGTCCGGCGTGCAGCGCAATGCAGAGCGATGGTGGATCGTGCATTTCATACACTTCATTGAAAGTCTTAGAAAACATCTTTTCCAGCGTCAGCCATCGGTCTGGAGCAAAAAGCGTTTCGTACACGGCAATACCGCACTTCTCCGGCGACTCGAAGGCCAACGTCGCCAGGGCCGTCTGAACGTCACTGATCGCACTATCACGAACAGTCTGGTCGTCCGCTTGCATTGCCAATGATGGAAAATACGTGCGCGCGTACTGAACAGCCTCTAGTGGCTTCCGAGCTCGCACCAGCTCAATACAATCTTGCACCCGTAAACGTAACTCCAGTAACGATTGTAGACGTCGTAAACGTGTGCCATTTTGTAAGCACCATGCGATTGCCGTATCGGTATGACACTCTCGCAAATCCTTTATCACGGCTTGGCGCTCCGTGTGAAGTTTGTGATCCACGAGATACGCGATATCTAGAGCACATTCCATAGTGTTGAGCACAAAGCTAAGAAGAAACAGGAGCGATCATACCTTCCGAACTCTACTTTAATATGACAGCATCCATCCTCCTAAAAAATTGTACAACCCACGCACCTTTGCTATCTGTAATGATCCTGCCACTCTCGAGGTATCCTTGTCCAAGCAAGTAGTCAGCAACAAGGCGATCATTGATCGTCTTTGTATCATCACTTGGGTGCGTAACCGATGAGATCTCCTCTCCAATATTTGACTTTTGTATCGTTTGGAGATACCGCGCGCGCTTCACACAGCTCTCGAGATCGTCGTGTTGCTCCAGCACGTTGCGCGTGGCGCTCTGCCTCAAGCTCTGCAGCAGCTCTGCTAGCCTCGCCAACTTCTCAACAGCTATCTCAATGTCCAGGCATTGACTTGATCCAGCTTCTTCCAGTGCTTCAATCTGCGCTGTGACCTGCGCCAGCTCGCGCGTGAGCTGCTTGTAGTACAGACGAAAGTTTTTGCTGGCACGTCCGAAGGGTACCCGCACGAGCGGGTAGCTGAGCTCCATCAGACTATAGAAAGAGGAAGATTAGAAGTCTTCCAGTGCTGCATGCAATAACAAAGGGAACGGAAGAGAGCAAATGTGGCAGTTAACAACGACGTTAGAAGAGACAGTCGACTTTTTACGAGATGGAGGAAGCATTAACTACAGCGAAAGAGACGGTGCTCATTGATACCCTTTTCGTATATAAAGAGACAGCGAGAGAGAGAGAGAGAGGAGGTGTATCCGATCGAAGAAGGCTGTTGCGTCGGACTTGGCCAGTGGGACTTGAGACGGACGGAAGCTTTTTGATTATGACGAGAGATTGGTTTGTTCTCAATTGTTTGACTGTGGGTACTGCTAGAATCGATCATTTATTTACTTTACGATGTGCACTTGCTTCTGAGAAGTAGATATCGTAATCAAAGTCAGTCACACGATTGGCCTATTTTCGCATGACGACGGCAGGTTATGACCTGCCGTTCACTTAGACGCGTGTGTAGCTAGCTCGCTTTTCGTCGTCGTGTGTGTCGGTTTCTGCTTCTCTTTATACTGCCGAGACTTGTTGATCTCGGTTGTTGTTTTTTTGCTTGTTGCGCCCCTCGAGAAGGCGACACACACACGTGATTCACGGGTTGTACAGCTACTCTGCATCTACATTGCCAGTTGAAAGTAAGATTCTCAGCACTCCATCTCGCACAAATGCGCCCTCGATACCCTGTTTGCTTTGTCGGTTCATGTGATACACCCAAGACAGTCCTTCAACTCTTACGATGGCTACAGCATGTGCAGATCGATAGCACTGCTAAGCATTTTCAGGATAACACGAACATATCAGTAAGACACCGACGAAGTGGCTCACATCTGCTGAACTAGAGCGCACACATGCCACATCAAAGCAGCAGATCAGTCCTTGGTCATCCACATTGACCGATCTTCCCATTTACCCGGACATGCTTCGTGACTTCAGTCTCATGACGAAGCAGACACCGCTCATTATATGATGCAGTGAACACGACAAGTAACGCACAAATTAACATACTTTCTCAGCCTGCTGGAGAACAATGCTACATCGACGAAGGCGGGATGATCCCGCGAGTAAGTAGGTACCATAGCTTGCCGTGTCGGCCACTATCATGTATTCACATATACAAGATTTGTCGTTGAATCGCATTTTTCACATCTAACGCTCTGACTGCGTCTAAACCACTCGATCTGATGTCGTTTGAACATGCGGTGGTAAAAACGACAAGTGAATCTGTAGCAAGGCATTGGGTGGACGATGCACAGTAAGATGTCAGAGGTTTTGTGTTTACAGAGTGCTGTGTGGGTCCCCGACACGCTTCAAGGAGCTTCAATTGAAGCAGAATCACTTCAAGGTGCTCCAGTTCTCCTTCACAATTACGCGCCGCTCTATCACGACAATCCCATGAAGAAGGTTCGGGTGACAGCACCGGATCTTCTTCTTGAGCCTTTGCGTCTATAGACATCAGTGGTGAACCAGAAAAAGAGCACGACATTGGCAAGTGATCCACTGCTCGTATGTGAGATGAGTCCCAAGAAGGTGCGGTCTCTGCAGACGTCGAAGGTGGGGGCAGTCTCGTGGGTAAATGTCCGCATGAAACACACAGCAGGATACGCATTGCTATGATGTCCATTCTCCTACCGACAGTAGCACGCCCATCTAACATTTTCACATGATCCTTGCAGGCCAGAAACGATTGTCACGTGGTCCTGGTGAGCAGTAGCCTGCATATGCCGCTACGCTAAAGTCGTCGGCGTCTCAAATTGATGGCGTATTTCAAACACATACACGTAGCATCAACTTTGCTGATACAGTGACCAACATAGCTGGTACTTACCAAGCACAAAAAGCTGACGGTAGGACCAGCACAAGTTGTGTGCAATCTTGTACCAGTACGTCTCCGTATCTCTAGGATGTTCGACTCTAACAAGTGTATTTTCCAGGGTACTTGGTGTTACGCTGGCAATGACTGCCCTTTGAATCGACTCATTCACATGGACAGCAGCGAATTGGTGAGACGGATATACTGTTTGTCAACAGCCTTTCATGGTTGATGATGTCCCGAAAGACGGTATTCTAACGAGGCGACCTCCAATATCTCGATCCGAAGCGAACAACACCGCCAATGAAGTACTTCTTTCGGTTTTAATGATGCTGTTTACAGCTGTCCATGTGCGATCAAAATCGATTGCATGCAGTGCGCAGACCGTCGTTGGCCGACGCAGCTGCGTCCATCGATGCTCCGACACAATCGTCATCATATCTCGTGTAACAGGCGATACGTGAATGACGACAGAATTCGTTGCAACAGCTTTTTCATCACCGATAATCTGCACGAATTTCACGCAAAGTATCACACTCGCTTGCGTTTCTCCACACTTAACTAACAAGCCAAGTCTACCAAGTTCCGGTCAATCTGCGCGGCTACTTCAACTTTGTCAGCTGCTGGGCGTGTCTTTGATCAATTTATTGCCTGGAACGGTCAAACGCTATGCATTCTACACAATAAAGACCTTGTCAATGATGTTGTTGTCGCCAAATCTGGCATTACCAGCGCGTCGGCATGTTCTTTCGATGACCAGTCACTCTTTTGGTCATCAACTCTCCAGGTTGACAATGCTTACAACAGAAGTATGTGCTTGAGAGCTAGAAGGCAGAAATCTGGACGATATGCTCCTTCGTTAATCTATTCTTCACTATTGTATCAGTCTGCCGCATTTTTACTTCTCGTGAATGGCTCGTCAGGAGAACATCGTCTGTACATCGGCTTGAATCAGAGATGCTGACCACTTGAAACTCGGTTGCCAAGTTTGAATCGTAGCGAGGGGATCATTGACCGTGTCGATTGCCCCGCAGTTCCATGGCAAGCGAATCAAATGGCGGATAACTTCACGTCCTGCACCGAATATTTAACCGAAATACTGCCGCTGTAAGAAGGCAGGGCCTGGCCCATCAACCGGCCCCAGTCGCTGCGGGATTCTGCGTAGAAGTAGCCGTAGCCAAAGTACGAAAGCGCTCCAATCGTCATCCAAGCCACACTGAGACCTAGTGCGACGTGGCTGATCTGCGCGATCATGTACCAGTTGGCAAGGATGCAAAGCGTCGGAATAAACGGCACCAGGGGGGCGGCGAACAAACCAGGCGCATTGGCAGTTTGTGGACACTTGACGAACAGCACGACCGAAATTCCAACGGTCGCAACGAGAAAAATCATGGCAAGTACCAGACACACGATGGATGCGTTGTTCTGATAGCCCTCCTGGTACAAAAAGGCTGTGCATCCAGCTGTTACAGCCAGCGCGGCAACGAGGATTGAGGACAGCTTCGGAGACTGGGGCTTCATACGCGCTAATGTCAGCGATACATTGGCGAGGATAAACGACATGATGACGCCGAAGTTGACAATTTCCCACAAAGTGCTGAAGGGCACCATAACAGCAATAACCGTGAAGACAAGTCCTGTGATGAGCGTGTTCTTGAACAAATTGCCCTTGGAATCCACTTCAGCAAACACGCGCGGCAACAGTCCGTCGCACGCAAGCGCATAATTCAGGCGAGGTTGAGCGAGGAAACCAATGAGTGCTACCACGGGCATTGTCACGATCTCACCAGCACGCACGATGATTCCAGCCCATTTCCAGCCACGGCCTTCAAATCCAACACCGAAGCTTCCTGCTTCAAGATAGGGCACCATACCGGCCAGCACGAGAGAGCAGAGCACACTTAGCACCATTGTGCCGATCGAAACGATCATAACGGCGATCGGCATGATCTTCTTGGGGTTCTTGGTCTCGCCGGCAAGGCAGCAAATCTCTTCGAAACCAGCGTAGCCAAAGAACGCCTGCGAAGCACCAGTCATAATGCCTTGCATTCCAAAGGCCATGGTACCATCGACCTCAGAACGCGCAGGAATGAATGGTGACAAGTTGTCCAGGTTCATTGCAGCAGTCCCAGCGACAATGATGAACGCAACGACGCACACCTTGATGACTGTCACAGTGTTCACGAACGCCTTGCCAAATCGGACGCCCATCAGCAGAACCACCATGCTGAGGAATTGGATGAGACCCCCGCTAAGATTAGCCGACTGCAGGTTCAGCCAATGGAAGCTCTTGTCCGGGTACTCGAGCAGCAGCCACTCCTCCACCTTGTCGCCCCAGCTACGCGCTACACCCGCACCACTTACTGCGTACTCGAGAGTCAGCAACCACGCCGCAACGACCGCAGGAAGCTCGCCAATTGTGTGGTAAGCATAGGCGTACGTGCTGCCCGAGGACGGCACGCGCGTGGATAACTCCATGTACGCCAGAGCATTGAGGCAGCAAATCACGCCACCGATTAGCCAGCTCAGTACTGCCGCAGGGCCGGCTGTTTTGCTGATGATTGACCCCGCGGTGGAAAAAATGCCAGTGCCAATCGTGGCTCCTATGCCAATGCAGCACAAGTCGAAGAGGTTTAACGTGCGCGGGATCTCCTGCGAGTTCTCCTCGGCGTGGATCACCCAGATGGGTTTGGTCCGCCACAGCGCAGAGATTCCTGCCATGGTGCTTCTGGGGACGTACGCAGGGCCTGAGTCAAAGAAGGCGTGAGCGAGTTAGTGGATGCGCGGTCACTCGCAATGTCAAAAACTGGACTGGACGATCTCCAGAGCTGGTCAGTGTGCGAGTTAATCGCGGCAGCCAATGACACCATTCCAGACGCGCGCGTTATGCCAAGCGCCTCGACTTTGGCCCTTTTGCGGTGCATACACTGGACGAGAGGGATCCGGATGTCTTTGAGGCGGCGACTGCTTGGATTTTTCTGAAGAAATGACTGGTGCTGATTCATTCCTATCACCAAGGAGCGCTGAAATCGTGTGTAATGTGATGAATAGGTGGGTGAAAAGCATGGCTGGCTCAGTGAATAGCCGCAGTCACGGCAAGAAACCGTTGCAGCGTGTTTCGTCTTACGTCATGAAGTGGAGATGGTTTTTATCGCCAATGTCATGTGGCCATACTTGAAAGACTCAGTCCTCGTCAAGGGTGATCATCTGGGTACTTTGAAGGTGAATGTAAAGACGCGCGGCTAAACTGGTCTTAAATTGCTGCGACTGACTTGCTTGGTACTCACTGCCGCGGTCGGCATGGGAGGACTCTCTTTAGGGTGGATGAGTATCTCTTCAAATCAAGATGACCCACACGTTGCAGGACGCACAAATGATTGCTTTTAGCCTCTACCGCGGCCCTACGATAGCCCCATTGCTGTCGACTGCGCTGCAGCCGTTTCACATTGGACTTTTTGCCACCTCTGCGACAAGCACGGTCCTTTGTCTGTGCTGCTAGTCCACGGGAAACTCGAGTAAAAGGGTATTGGGAACAACTTAGCTTTCGCCTGGATGACCGAGGTTTCTTCGTTTCCACGCAGGATTTGTCCCGACTTTTCATTGCTGTCAACTTTTATTTCTAACCTCATTGACGTGTAAGATCAAGCCGACGCTTCAGCGCCCATTGATATCCGTAACCACAGTTACAATGACAAGCCCGCCGTCTGTAACGGGGTGAGCCTGTTACATGTAATTAACCCTTGACACTTGTTAATTAGAATATTATCACAGTGGTTGATAATGCTCACGTGAATATTGCCATTAGAGGTTTCTATTCAGAAACACTTACCGATTGGCTGATATCATATTATCCAGCTATAGCGGTCCAATCAACGATGGACGCGCGCAAAGAGTGGTGAGCAAGACCTTAGCATACGTTTTAGTTGACGAATATCATCAAGTTGAAAAATAAAACATAGGTTAATGATCGGGACTTAATTTTGTTTCGTGCAGTTTTATCTTTTACCAGCAACTAGTCAGTTCCTAGTTGCTTTTCCTTCCTCTGCCGAATGCAGAGGTAGCGAGGCACCACTCACACTGCTTTCGATGATAGTAGCTCCCCACTGATTGTCCAGTGTGTTGCTCCTTTGCCCCGTTACACATGGCAGCCTCTTGTGATCCGTCCAAGGACCACAAAACCCGATCAAATTTTTATGTTGGAAGATGAAGGCGACGAGACCTTCACGGCACCCGTGAGAGTTACTCCTGTCGAACATATAGGTTGGTGAAGAAGCAGTCTGGCCTCTGCTATCTACAAGAGTTAGGAACCAGCAACATTCCGTGATCGGTAAGTTTTTGCAACGAAAAGTCGACGCGTCGTGAGCTGAAGTGACCCTGCTGCATCAATAAGGTCACGAGCAGTGTAACGGGGCACCCTGAAGCTTGTGCTGGTGACAGTACAAGCTACTTATTCTGATGACAGAATAAGGCGGTGCCTCGTAACTTCACGTACACTCGTACGTGCAGAGGAAGACGGTAAGAAGAAGCGAGTACTTGGTTAAAGTAAAAAGTAGAACTGTATTTAGTATAGTTAATGTCTGCAATAAATCACTATTTATCTTCATCTAACTATGTCTAAATACAAATGTGTAAATCAACTATCTGCTCACCACTCATTGCGTGCGTCTGTCGTGGCGCGTCTTCGTTGGTTGATATAATGGCATATATCAACCAATTAGGAACTACTCGTAAGTGCTGCAGAATATTTGTCCTTATGACAATATTCTGAGAATATAACTCTTATAGTTATATTCTATTAACAATTTCTTATAAATTGTTATGTAACGATTCACCCCGTTACATCACCCCCCCCTTAACCATCAGTCACTTTAGTGACTGATTGACTAAATGGATACTCGTCCCAAATCATTTGGGACAGGGTTTGCACTTGTTGGTCCGAGTCCACTTCCCAACATTTCATCGCATGGTTAACAAGCCCATGCGATGCGCGAGCAAGGCCGCCGAGAGCGCGTCCGCACGTCTCTGTGCGGACGCCGAAGCAGAAACTACAGCAACTGATGTCTCATCGGTTGCTGAAGCGACCCAGCCTGTGTCACTTGGTGATGCAGGCGCTGGTCATGAAGACACTCATGTCTTCACAGAGTACGAGCTCGGTGTCTCATACTCTCCTGATACGGATGACGGATCCGTATCGTGGGCGATTGAATCTAAGCTGCCTGCCAAGCGTGGCATGGACGATGCTTTGCGTCGCAGCATCTTTGGTTCATCTGATGAGTCAGATGAACCATCGCCGAAGCGAAGGCGCTCGAGGTCGCGAGACTCGGGTGCTAATAGTGGTGTCGGTTCTCCTATGGACACCACTTCACAGCGAGGTGCCAGTACTTCTGTCGGCACGTCGCAGGAAGAGCGGGACCGCAATGTCTTGCGTCTAGCTCCCGAGAAGAAGGCATGGATGCCTCCAAAATCCGTCATGGATCACTTGTCGGCGACGACGAGTGATCGTTATCGAACACGATTGTTCGATTCGTCAAGGATCCATCACCTTGACCCCAGTGCGAAAAACTATCGCGCTGAACATGAATTCTTCATCGATGCTTTCTTCAAACATCGATGGTACAGTGGGAATCACAAACGTGATGGTCCCTCACTGCTTCAAGCGTGGAACGCCTACATTCATAACCTCGAGGATGTAGGTCGTGACGCTTGAAACGACAAACTTATCAAAGCTCGTGATAAGTTTGAAAAGCGAACCCCGACAGGTGCACGCTACAAGCTGCATCGTCTGTCAAGGGGGGAAGGATTACCCTGCCTCTCTAGGGGAGACTCGTGCCCATGTTGTGTGAACAACTCTGCACGAGCACCTAAGGAGGCTTACCTCCTTACTAGCCCTTGGTGGCGCGTACGTATCTCTACTGAGATGTACGAAGGGATTGACAACCTGAAATCCCTTTACGACCGTGCCGGGAAGACTTTCTCCGGCGGTCCTTCTGCGACACAGGATGTGCCGCGTCGTACTGCTCAACCAGACCCAGTACGTCGATCATCAGTTGGGAGCGGGGCTCCCAGGAATCCCAGGACGGGGGATAGCCGCGCCACCAGACGAGATACTCGTCCGACGTCCGTTCACGTCGCGGTGGTTCAACAGCTGCTCAACTAGATAGCGCTGGCCACCGCGATAGTCCTCTAATGGAGGTGGAGGAGGAGGAAAGACGCTCTCCACACGATCATGTGGATTGGTGTGTTCCTGAGAGCTTCTTTGATCGCGTAATGCAAGGGTTACGCGACGATCTCGAACATGAGCGGAATAGGCGTCTCCAAATGGCGGACACTGCCTCGAAGCATCGAGCTGAGTTTGCCTTTGCTCAGCTCGAGAACGAGAGATCTCTGACATCTCTTCGTGACGAGCTAAGGGTAGCTCGTGGGATTGTTGATCGGTCTCGGGATGAGATAGCTGCTCTTCAGACCCTTGTTGATGCCCACCATCGGGAGCACAAGGCTATCTGCGAGATGCTTGAGCGCAAGGGCGTTCTTCATCGGAAGAAGCAGCGTACTGATGGTACGGCTTAAGCCGACCAACGTAAAACGTGGGATGCGTTCGCATCTTACGTGGTAACTCGATCGTGTATGCATTGCCTAGCCGGTGTAATACACGAAATGGGCCGATGTACTTGGGTAGTAGTTTACTGCTACCCAAGTTAGTCACTACATGCTTTGGTAGATTAACCGTAGACAGTAGGACTAAGTCACCTTTATTAAATAAAAGAGTGTTTGCCCTTCCATTCTTGTCAGCGTTTAGCTTTTGCTTATCCACCGCTTCGGCGATGGAGTCTTGCACAAAACGGACTACCGTTTCACGAGCCAGTATGAACTCATCTGATGACTCGTTAGCTTCAGTGCGCTGTGAGCGCACTGCAGCAACATCAACCTTTTCTTCAGTGAGGGCTTCCGCACTCTCACTGGCATCATCTTCTTCGATATCGATGTTATCGATATAGGCATCAAACGCAATGACTTCTTCGTCAGAGCGTGATGAGCGTGAACCAATTCGGTTTTTGCTCGCGCGAGTTCCTCCCCCCCTTAAACCAGAGTTACACTCTAGTAAGGTGGGTACACGCGGATGGCGCAAGCCATTCACGTAAAACGGTGTATGTGTCGTGGACGCATGCACCGAGTTGTTGATGGCAAACTCTACCATCGGCAAAAACTCACTCCAACTCTTAAAGGAGTGTACGTATCCTCGAAGTATCTCTTCAAGGACACGATTGGCACGTTCCGTCTGACCATCTGACTCTGGATGATCAGATGTTGACATCTTCAAGCGCGTTCCGAGTGATTTGAACACGGAACGCCAGAAATCAGCAGTGAATCGTGGATCTCTGTCTGATACGAGTTCACGGGGCAACCCATGAAGTCGGAAGATGGTGTCAATAAAGACACAAGCACAGCCACTTGCCGTGATTGTCTCTGGTACAGCCACAAGGTGTACCATTTTTGCTGAATCTGTCAACAAATACGAGAATACCCGTATTCCCGCGTGCGTCTTTGGGTAACCCGAAGACGAAATCCATTGAGATGGATTCCCAGCACTCAGCCGGAACCGGTAGAGGCTGTAAAGGTGCACGCAGTGAAGGACTTGACTTCACTCGTTGGCAGACTTCGCATGCGCGAACATACTTTCGCACAAACTGATACTGGCGGGGCCAGTAAAAGTCTCGACTTAC